AATTAATCGCTTAATTCGAGTTAATACCCGCGGGAAATGTGCGCAGATTCCCCTTCTTCGGGTTGTCCCTCACGTATATCCTTAGTAGGCTGTCAATATCAAATCACTTCAGCTATTCGCAATTACCTTGTGGTGTTTTCTACGAGACCTTGCCCTATCATATTTGTTTTAGCACAGTCATGCAGCACGAGTCACGCCATGTTGTATGCGTTTCCCCCTCCCATCCCTGTCCCTTGTACTCGTTTCTCCTTCTGCCTTATCCCGTTGCATACTTGCTCCTGCATTCTCCGGCCTTACTTCTTCTCACCCAAACATTCGATTGTGTGACAGCAATGGCGGCGCCAGCCACTAAGCTCTGGGGGGAGGACAAACCAAAAACATTTATGCCACGCCCTTTTAACCACCAGAAAACGCCCTTTTATCAACAGGAAACGCCAATTTTATCCGAAGGGAACGCCTATGACTAACTTTTCCTTGAAAATTGGCAGTTTGAAAATCATAGGATTACATCACAAAAAGTACGTTGTCAAAACATTACCCCTCCCCCAACATTTTCTCATCAAATTTAGACGAAATACAAAATCGATTCTGATGAGAACCCGGGGGGGTGGGGGGGGGGTGGGGGGCAGTCCCTACTGTGTGACAGGTATATCAGTCTGATTGGCAGGGTAAAATACTAAGGCATTTTTTCCCTGGCATGAAACACCGACCATGAATTGCGTCATTGCTTAGGCAAGGCAAGGGCTGATGCACCAAAAGCCCAAAATGTTGTTCCTGAGATTTGGGTTTCGTTTAGCATAACTGAGGGGTCCCCGCGTAGGAATTTATTACTTTTTGGATGAATGTAGCTATGATAATATAAACTCCCGTTTTACAACAGAAGCTCCCGAGAACTGAAAGATGCTGTCGGTTAAAAATATATGTCCGTATCTTTACTTGTACAAGTGTTTGACCCCAGGGAAGAAATTTTAGGCAACCTCTTTTTGCACGCTAGGGATCACATTGGTTTGAATATCGGCTAGGTATCCTCTGTTTAGTAATGAAGCTGTGCTAGTATTTGCCTATTGTTTTTAGATTTTCCTTGATTAGAATTGTCCGTTTTGGGTTCTAGGGTGTTATGAATTGTCCGTTATTTGGCTGTATCCATTAACTTTGCCCGTTTCCATTTTTGGTTCAGTTTTCATTACACATTTATCTTCTAAAGCCCAATTTATTTAATTTTACTGTGACATCCGCCCCCCCCCCCCCGTCTACCGTTAATGATCCACGCGAGAGAGACAAATATTTTGCCACAAAGTAAGTTCCATCACCTCGAGAGACAACCAACGGATTAATCAGGATCAAAGTTTCGTCTTCCAATTATTTCTCGGCTTCTTTGTCACAGTATCAAAAAATTTATTCTAAAAACCAAACTTTTGCGTTTTCATTCACAAAGTCTTGTGGTGGAATTTCACTCATATTTCTTTTCAAACACACTTGTCTTATGTTACAAAGGGGATCAGCAATGATATGTCAAAGCCAGGATTCTATTTTCATTAGTTAAAAGATTCATTCAAAAGTTGGTGTAAATTTTCCAAGTTTATGCTAAAGTTATTCAGTAATGAGGCTTATATCAGAGCAATCACCCCTTTCTCCATAATTATAAAAGGATTTTTAAGTTTATGTCGAGAATACAAGCCCAATGTACAGAATGTTATCGCAGTTAATTTCTAGAAAAAGAGAAAGAAATTGTACAAAGAAACCAATTTTGCATAAAATTTTAGCATCAATTTTTAGCATCAATTTGGTCTCGAAAAAGAGGCTGCCTCGACACAGCGCCACAGACACAAGTAAAACTAGGCTGCATGGCTGATGTACGATATTGTAAAAGGCTTACAGCTTTGGTTGAAAATTCTGTTCTTCCCTGAAGTTAGGGAAACCACTTCTATACGCCTTTGGTTCAGTTGTACTAAATTCAAACCCAGGCTTGTCACAGCCAATACATGTTCAATGTATAACCCAGCCGGTGAAAAGAAAGCAATTGTCAATTATACGAAGAATATTTATGGGGATATTATGATAAAATAGGCTGCTAATTTGATGTGAATAAGCTGTTAAAACGAGAGGCGTTTATGTTGAAGGGGCTAGGGTTAATTTAATGGCCAGTTTAGAGGCAGTGTGTTGCGCTGCTCATTGGCAATTGTTGAATTTTGAGGGTCCTCAAAATTAGAGAAGCGTGGCAAATTAGTACAACTGATCAATAGAGTACCGAAGTGATGACGTCATTAAAATATATTTTTAGAATTTCTGAATTTTGATCCCAGAATCTGAAAGAGCATCATGAAATACCTCTAAATATGCAAAATCAGTTAAAGGCATTACGAATTGGTTGAGATATGGCCGCTTGAGCACAAGCTCTTGCCCCATAAAACTGTTAGAACACAGGGTTCCCATTCATTGCAGGACATCACATGACAATTGCATCATTGTTCTGCAATTGCATCAGCTTCTGTAAATTGTATTATTCTTAGGGTATATAAGGGGTGGCTTTATAGTTAGGTTCAGTCTTGCCGTAAGCTTTGTCGAACTCAGTGTACCTTGTCGCTAGCTTGCAGAATTGTGTTTGCCGTTACATTTTCGCCGTTAGCCATTTAAGATATTTTTAGTCGTTTGCCGTGAACTGATGAATTAGAAGAAGTGTATAGAGAATTGGATAACAGTTTTTGCCGTATTTATCGTGTACGTTTCTGCGAACGACCTACGAACTCACATTTGTAAAACCCCCTTTTTAAGTGGTTTTACAAAACCTCTATAATTTGATAGGAACCAGGCCAGAATAACAGTAATCCGTTAGCAAACTTGAAATCTTTCATTTGTCATAGCTCGTCCAATTTTGAGCATATCTAGCTGATTTTGCACATTGAGAGGTATTTTATGCCGTTCTTTCAGATTATGTGGCCAAATTTTAGAAATTCTAAAAATAGATTTTTGATGACGTCACACTTTGGTACTCTATAGCAAGTAAGAGGTGTCCTTTGTTGCGAAATGAAAACTCACTAAAATTATGTTCTTTGTTTCGATAAACCAATGAACGGCGTGACGTACTGCCTTAAAGGTAGAGTCCTAGAGCTGTGACTTCTGGATAGCCAAGCCGCAAAAATCTTGATACTGCCCTAGGGAAAGGACCCAGCTGTGATAGTCGCTCTCTTTCTCCTAGTTTTTGAAATCAGAAACAGTATTAAAGGATATCTGTCTCGTTGTGGATTGGTTAACGAGAACAATAGCTGGAACAATAGCCTAAACACAATTCCAGCGCTCCGCCATATTTTTTACAATGCGATAAATTAAAGGGGGACTGGAAACAATAAAAAATTCCTTTGTTCTTATAACCAATCAACGTCGTGACAGATTGCCTTTAACCTGGTCCACACGTTTCACGCCCAAACAAGATAAAACAGAGACATGTGATAATCAGCGCCTTGGAGAAATAGGAGGGGGTTATTGCCCCTCCTGACCAGGACTTTCTATTGTTGAAGACAAGTGACTCTTGTCTATCTTTATATCAAAAAAACCTTTGAATTCACAGCTGACGTCCTTTGATCACAAAGACATTTGAAAACCCGTCATTATCATAATCACGAATTTTCAATAGGCAAGTGGCACTGATTGGGCAAACTCAACAGTCACGTGCTCGCGTTTCTGATTGGCCTATTTCGATCCACAACTGGGTACATTTAATTACTAGCGTAGAATTTCCGATCCATGTTCTGACGTTCTAATGACGAGCATCAGACGTAGAGGTTTAGTATGACTCAAAATTTTCGCTTCAGGTTTTGGTTTTCAAAAGACATTCGTCATTAAAACCAACAACTTACAATTAACTGAATAAATACGCGATTTTCGCTCCTATATCGATATTGACAAAGCGAGTGACAATATAATATGAAATACAATATGTTCTTTATTTAAGATAGCTCGGAAACAGATTATATGGAGGCAAATTACGACAGACGTAGATCTGACAGGGCCTAGAAATTCAATTTCCTTCTTGTTTGAGTTTAGCAGTGTTTTGAAACGCTCTGTGTCTGAAACTGATTATCCTTTTTATACGTCAAATTTGCCGAAGACAAATAAAAAATTTTGCCAGTCCATCAGGCCTTAGTGCACCAAAAAGCCGTTAAAATAGTTACTCAAATGGAAGTTATTATGTATTTTCGTCACCACAAACCACAATCCTCGCCACTACTCAGTTTGAGGGTTGTTAATTCGACCAAATCTTGCTCTATTCATTGCGCTGTGAGTTTCGCTCAATAAACAGAGCCAGGGACATAAATTAACGGATATCTTGAGTAGGTGAGGGTACGAAATTCTCGACTGACAATAAGCAAAATGTAACTTTGAGCTAAGATTGTACAGGCAAGAACCGAGAGGGGGGGGGGGGGCTTTGGCCTTTAATTGCGTAAGTAAAGTGGCAGAACCAAGTCATTATATGGTTCGGTCATTTCCTACTTGTCTGTCAGAATGCCTTTTGAAAGTCACGGGTAGAAAGTATAGGACAGATTCTGCCCGGGTGCAGAAACTTGGTCAAATATTGGGGGCAAGACATTGTTTCTGATAAGATGACAGAACCGGCCCCTCGCCCCCCCTCGCCTTCCTCGCCACCCTCTCCCCCTCGCCACCTCGCCCCCTCCTCGCCTCCTCGCCCCCTCCTCGCACTCCTGCCCCCTCCCTCGCCTCTCGCCCCCTCCTCGCTCCTGCCCTCCTCGCCTCCTCCGCCCCTCTCCTCCTCGCCCCTCCTCGCCACCCCCTCCTCGCCTCCTCGCCCCCTCCTCGCCTCCTCGCCCCAGTTGTCTGCCACTGATTCTACCCTTACACAGTCACACGGAAGCATTAGAACTATCCGTGCAATGATGCTTCTGGCATTAATTAGAGGTATTGAGCGTGTATTTATTAGAGGTAATAAGGTATTTGTGTATGCGTGGAAAACTTATTTTGTAACATTTCCTTCCTTTCTTTTGTAGAAACGATGGCACTGCATATTGTTGTCTCGCCGGATGAGGCTGCAAAGGTAACGAATTGCGTAAATTCTCAATATTTCATTCTCTGCTTAAAGTCATTGCAGGTTTGTTGCAAAAAGTCAGCTCAATGTGTAGCTCGGATACCATTTGCCGACCTACATGGTGTGTTTTTGAGATTCTATCGACTCGTTCACTGCGAAACATGCAACTATCTAAACTCTACGTGACGCGTGCAAAAAGTTCTAACTCAGCGATCATTAGAACTTTCTAGAAGCTTCTAATTAGCTGACAATAGAGCAGCAAGCAATCTACTCTAACACGTGTCCACACTAGCTACTAATTACGAACGGTCCATAAGTTTACTGCAAACGCGCAATTAACGTAACTGTTGAGTGCACGTTTCCAACACTCCCACTCAATCAACAGTTTCTTTTCAGGTTTTATTGCATTCCGAGCTTGCAGCGTAGGTACTCAAATTGACCTCTGTTCAGTGATTTAGTAAGTAAGTCAGCCAGCATTTCTTTCGTGTTGCAATATTTTAGTAGCAGAGTCCCTTTCTCTACTTGTTCTCGAACAAAATGATACCTTATGTCGATGTGTTTCGTCCGTTTGTGTCCGACTGGATTTTTTGTCATCGAAATTGCTCCTTGGTTGTCTTCCATGATTGTTATAGGTTGCACATTGTCTCCTATTTCGCTAAACAGTTGCTTCAGCCATACGACCTCTTGGGCAGCTTTACTCAAGGCAATGTACTCTGCCTCAGCGGTTGAAAGAGCCACTGTTGATTGTTTTTGACTAAGCCAGCTAATCGCACCTCCGGCCATCATGAAGACATTTCCAGTGGTTGAGTGGCGATTCTGCATATCGTCAGCCCAACTAGCATCACTAAATCCCGTAACTTCTTTGCTTTCTAATTTCTTGTAAACCAGCGAAAGATTGATTGTTCCTTTCAGATAACGAAATACCCGTTTTACTGCAGTAAGATGCGCTTCTGTTGGTGCTGAATTGAATTGAGAAAGAGCTCCCACTGCTTGAGCGATATCAGGCCTTGTTGCGATGGCAGCATAGAGTAAACTCCCTATCATAGACTGATATTGAACGTTATCAACAGGTTTACTGTTTCCATCATCTGCTACAAGTTTGACATTTGGATCAAGAGGTGTACACACTGGATTAGCATCTTGAAGTCCATAGCGCTTCAGTAATTTTTCAATGTACTGCTTCTGTGATAGACTGACTCCTTCTTCGCTTTGCTCAACGCTGACTCCAAGGCAGAAATGAAGGCTGCCCAAATCTTTCATCTTGAAATTCTTTCTCAGGTTTACTTTCATTTGTTTCATTTCATCTTGAGTAGTGGATATGATGATTAAATCATCTACGTAAACAGCAATAATTGTCAAATTGTTTCTTTCAAGAGATCCTTCACGAAGATACACGGATCTGCTTGGCCTTGTCTGAAATTTAGTGATTCGAGCGCGTTTCTAAATTTTCGATTCCAGCAACGTGGTGATTGCTTGAGTCCATAGAGGGATTTTTTGAGCCTGCAAACCAGATTCTCTTTTCCACGTATCACGTAACCCTCTGGTTGCTCCATATAGATTTCTTCCGTTAAATCTCCGTTCAGAAATGCCGTAGTTACATCCATTTGATGAATCAGCATTCGGTTTTGAACTGCAAAAGCCAGTAAGGCTCGAATAGAACTGAACCGTACGACAGGAGAAAAAGTTTCATCAAAATCGACGCCGTACTTCTGAGAATACCCTTTTGCTACTAAACGACTTTTGAAACGTTCCACTTGTCCATTTTCGTCATACTTTACTTTGAAGACCCACTTGCACCCGATAGCCTTTCGGTCTTTTGGTGGCTTCACTAACTCCCACGTTTGGTTCTCTATGAGTGACTGATACTCTGAATCCGTTGCTTCTTTCCACTGTGCGGAATATTCACTATTGAAGGCTTCTTGGATGGTAGCTGGTTCTTCGATGATTGCTGAGAATACAACATGTCTTGCTTCTGTGACGTCAGCATACTCATCCAAGCCAAATCGAGGTGGTGGTACCCCTTTTGTGGATCTTTGAAATCGTCGAGGATGGCTTTCTTCTGCATCCGTGTTCCTTTCCGTAGGCTCTGTTTGTCGTTTATCTTCCTTTGCTGGTTCTGGACCCATCTTCAAATACTGTTTTTGAGATCCAAAATCATTTTCATTGAAGTTAACGTCTCTTCTGATCACTATTCTCTTGCTCTGCATATCAAAAAGTCGGTATCCTTTCTGATTTGCACTGTACCCCAAGAATCGAAGTCTGTTGGCTTTCTTGTCCAACTTTCTTCGCTCAGCCTCTGGAATATGAGCATAAGCTATGCAGCCGAACACACGAAAGTGGGAGACATCAGGGGGTTTTCCATACCATTTTTCATACGGTGTTTGACCTGATGCGCTGGTTATAACACGATTCCTTATGTAGGCTGCAGTGTTGACTGCTTCTGCCCAGAAGGTCTTGCTGAGTCCGGCATGGTTCATCATCGCTTTTGCGGATTCAACTAGAGTCCGGTTCATGCGCTCAGCCACTCCATTCTGTTGTGGAGAGTGAGGAACAGAAGTTTCGTGTTTGATACCTTTCCTTTTCAGAAGATTTTCAAAGTCATTTGATACATACTCTCCGCCATTATCTGTACGCAAGGTTCCAATTTTACATGCAGCTTCATTGGTTGCAGAGGCTTCAAATTCTTTAAACCTCTTTAGTACCTCAGACTTCTTTCTAATGAAGTAGACTTTGACACATCTCGAGTAGTCATCAATGAATGTGACAAAATAACGCTTTCCTGAAAAGCTCTGTATTGACATTGGTCCACATACGTCGCTGTGAACTATCTGTAATTTTCTAGAAGTCTTGATCCCCTCTGTTGACTTGAAGGGTTTTCTGCTCATCTTACTTTCCGCACACCCTGTGCAAAAGTTCAGTTCGTCATTTCCTTGGATGGCAACTCCTTTGATGAGCTTCTTCTTGACTGATTCCAATAGCTGTTTTCTATTTATATGTCCTAGCCGTTGATGCCAAATATCCATCGTGCTAGGGTTGCTATTTTCCATCCTTTCAGATTGGTGATAAGCTGCTGTTATATCTGTTTCGCAGCTCAGAACGTACATTCGCTTAACGAGTCTTCCTTTGCCTACAGCCTTACCGTCCGAGTCCTTTATCCAGCAACAAGTATGTCCAAACTGAACAATGAGTCCCTTCTGTGTCACAGCTCGCACACTGAACAGGTTGCAAGCTAGTTTCGGAACATAAAGTACATTATCCATTTCAATTGTCAGCTGCTTGTTGTGGCTTGTTTCCATGGTTATTTGAGCTCGTCCTGATCCACGGGCTTCCACTGTATGTCCGTCACCCAGTTTGACTAATTCAGGCTGGTTGAACTCTCTGTAGTTAATCAAAAGCAGTTTGTTTGAGGTCATATGCTGCGAGGCACCCGAATCCAGAATCCATTGTCTGTTTGTCTCATTTTCTGTTTGTTTATTTTCAGCTAGAAAGAGTTGAGAGTCTGAGTCATCATCTGCCTCCTTTCCTGCAGTCTTTGCATTATGTGTTTCATTTTTAAATGAATTGCTGGGCCTCACTTGCTTCCTTTTGTGACATTCAAAGCTTTTATGACCCTCCTTGCCACAGTTGTAACATTTGCCTTTGAAAGGCCTGCTGATACCCTTTTCCAAATGTAATGCTGAGTCTCGATAAATTTTAGTCGTTGCGGTTGCTTTGAAGGCCTGTTTTTTCTGCTCTTCATTGATAAGGGCTTGCTGGACGAAGGCCAGTGATAGTTCATCTCCTTTAGCTTCCAGAGCTGTAACGAGTGTTGTATAGCTTGGTGGAAGGCTTATGAGCAATGCCACGACTTGCTCTTCTTCAGCTACTGTAGACCCGAGTGCATGGAGTTTATCAGCAATTTCCTTCATACGTTTCAAATGATCTTGGACCGATTGCCCTTCAAGCATTTTTGAAGTAAAATATTGTCTCTTGAGAAACAGCTTGTTGGCTATCGTATCCCTCTCGAAATAGGCTTTGAGAGTATCCAACAGGTCCTTCGGTGTTTCGCATGATGTCACCAAGTAGATAAGATTCGACTGAATTCCCATTACCAACGTCGCCATTGCCTTTTGCTTGGCCTTTTCGTATGTAGCTCTAGATGCTGTATTATCGTCAGGTAATGAAATCGTTCCATCTACGTGATCCCACACATCTTTCGCCATCAACAAATGTTTCATTTGAAACTTCCATGTAGGCCAGTTTGACCTATCTAATTTTTCGATTTCGAATTTATCTCCAAATCCAGCCATGTGCAGTGGTTTGGTTCTGGGCCCATAACCTGTTGTTTTTGAGATTCTATCGACTCGTTCACTGCGAAACATGCAACTATCTAAACTCTACGTGACGCGTGCAAAAAGTTCTAACTCAGCGATCATTAGAACTTTCTAGAAGCTTCTAATTAGCTGACAATAGAGCAGCAAGCAATCTACTCTAACACGTGTCCAACACTAGCTACTAATTACGAAGGTCATTAGTTTACTTGCAAACGCAGCAATTACGTAACTGTTGAGTGCACGTTCCCAACACATGGTGGGCAAGCCACCCTTTTGCCGACATATTTTAATGTTTGCCGACAAAGCACCCCAAAATGGACAAAACTCCCCGTTTTTTACACTGAAAATTTTACCAAAGGGGAGTGGTGTCTCCTCCTTCCCCCTTAACACCCCTGTAGCGACGGCCAAAGGGCATTGCCACATTTGCTGTAAAATTGAATGAAGCTAAATTCGAGTGAAGTGCGACATAAAATGTGGTACAATCACTGCAGAACTGAAGGAGACACACGGTGGTCCCTTTCTAGGTGCCTTTTTGTTTCTTCTGTAAGGTAAGTTGGTACTAAACTCTTCTGTTTACATCCCAAGAACCTGCTTCAAAACACCTCTCTGTGCTACTCTTAAAACTCGAGATAAAAATGTCTACGTTGGAGATTGTTCATCCATCCCGTTTTGTTTACCAAAAGCTAGCATGACAATTTCCTGCTGAAGAATTTTCAAGTTCCCAAACAAACAGAAAATCACAACAAATCTTTGAGCCACAGAATGTGATCTCGTTATTTCCTGCCTCGATTGCCAATGCCTTTTCTTCTTTATATGTGAAAAAATGCTCGGAATTGCCTTGAATTTTTCAGGATCCTACGCCATAAATGAATCACCACCCCAGGCGACTTGTGTATGGCTTACTTTGAGTGATGACCCCCGTCGCACGGTGACAAACAAGGGAAGGAAACTTTGTCGGGCGCCACTCGTTTTCTGTCGACTAAACGACAGGTTATCGATGAGTTTGTTTCCATCAAATGTGTTTTGCAACCTACATTTTCTCATCGCAGCCAGAACTTTGCTGTTAATTGTTGTTTGAAAAACACACTTGAATGAAATTACTTTTAAGCACAAATTCCATATGTGTTTTTGAAAGATTCGTTTGCTTTTTTTATTCATTCGATTTTATTGTTACAGAAGTAAATCCCTTCAGCCTTCATTAAAACACAACTAAATAATGAAATAGTTTTCATTCGGAAATTTGTTTCACAAGGTAAAAACCTATTTCAGAACCAGTGTTTGGTTGTTCCTAGGGTCGTGTTTTGTGTTTAGTCTAGCATTTTAAGTGCGTCTGCAACTCGTAAAGACCCACCATCTTGTTTTCTCATCTTGACGTCAAATTCCTAGTTACCATGGGAACCAGCGACCACGCAGCATCACCACAGGGGTCCAATGTAAACAAGTAGTGCAACTTACTGGGTGCGTAGGACAATCTCGATAATGGCGCTGGCACTCAAAGCATGTTTGAAATATCTCCGAACTTCAAACTTTTGATAATCTGCGTTGGTGTCGTTGAGAACAATCAATGCCAGAGAAATCTTTGGTTTGATTAATCAACGAAGCACGCGCTTGATGGAAATCTCGTTAATTATTTTATGGCTGCACAATCTCGGTATAACAGGATTAATTTTTCGTTCTGACGATGCTAAAATAACAAAAGCGCATTGTATTGTTAACTGAAAATTCGTGATAATAATGGGCCTGATTTTGATATCTCTTTTGCCAGCTTCTAAATGGAATCCAGAAGATTTTCTTACCCCATCAGATTTCTTTCAACTTCTTCGATCTTTTAAGTTGAAAGTCTGACAACGATTTCTTCGATCTTTTAAGCTGCTGTTTCACGTTTTGAACTTTTCATGTTCGGAGCGCGCTTGGTTAGAGTTTCTTTACAAGGCTTGCTTTGTAGACAAGAAATTATTGGACATTCGCCCGTTACTTAGGACGTGTCCGTTTGTTTGGATGTGTAGCTACGTCTGTTTAGAGCTGTCAATTTTTTTGGATGTCTTCGTCAAAGTGGTTCCTTTACTTCTTAGATAAAATATTCTTTGACAATGTCATCTGTCCGTTGTTTGTAGGTGTCCGTTTTGTGAGATGTCCGTGGTTTTAGGTATACACCATTTGAAGGCGTGTCGCTTTCACTTTTTCAAATAATGGCTGCCTTCAAACCGTTGCTTGCCCACGGAATCACACATGTTAGAGCTGCAATATTAGTTGCCACATATTTGTAATTTTATTACAACAAAATGTTTTATTGATCTCGGTCATATATTTCGAAAAATGCCTTTAAAAAACAAACATTTTGAAGCATGTTTCTAAAGCTTTTCGTCCGTCACTCTTCAGAGTTTAAAACGTCAGAACATAGATCGAAACCTCTACGCTATTGAAATATACCTTATCTAATTGTTGATCGAAATAGGCCAAGCAGAAACGCAAGCACATGACTGTTGAGGTTGACCAATCAGATTTCGCTTGCCTATAGAAAATGTTACCAATGGAGTCCTATGTCAATTCAGTGTAAATTCTCAATCTTTGTTACTGAATTCGCAGAATTTTTTATTGAAGTTTCATCGCTGCAGCCTACGTGAATCTTAACAACATGAGTAGGCCCAATTCCACGATCAAAACATAATTAGAAAATGTTCGGTTGAGGTTGCTGAATCAGTGCCGCTTGCCTATTTCATATATTTCTAGTCTTATCTTTTTGGCTAATTACTCGCATGAAACTGTCTGTAAACAACTGACTCTCTCATGGTTGTTTTTATCCGATTCTTTTGATATAGCTTAGCTGCATTTTTGATCGTTGTTTTGTCAGGGAATTCATTTACTTTAATTTACTCAGACATGTTATACAACTGACTCTGACAACAAACTTAATTAATGTCCTTATTTTGTAATTAATGGAGGTTAACCACTAAATTTGATAGGCAAATATGGTCTGCTGTCTATTATTCGACAAATGGTTTTGTGATTGGAAGCAATATTACACTCTGAACTTCCATAAGCCTTGGTAAGTAGGCCTAAATGCCTGTGTAGACAGATAACAAACAGCCTGCCAAATGGCTTGGGCCCAAGCAGTAGCGAAGCCAGGGTGCTAAGATTTTCCAAGGCTAGTTGAACGATGGCAAATTGGGGGCCAACACCCTTTTGAACGCCAGAAAACGTCTTTTTCAAAGATATTTTTTGCCATTGGAGGGAGGGGGCGCTCGCTCCACCTTGTCTCCCCCTCGTACTCTACTGAGAAAATATCTCTGTGTGCCTCTGAAATACTGAAATACTGGCAAAGTAGGTGTGTAGCATTCTTGGAACCCAAACATTACGTTGTCAATACTTCAATTCACTTTCCCAACTCAAATTTGTTCCTAAGCCCGCTATTGAAATTCTTGTTTTGGGAATTTTTTTAACTGCTAGTTTTAACATGACAATATTAAATCTATTTCTTTTCGTACTATTTATCTTTTTGTGGTCTATTTTGTTGTTAATTTTAAATGCATGGAAAATATGCCTGACATTAAATACCATGTTATTTCATTTTTTGCTTTTCTCTCGCTGATATTCTTTGTTACATTGTGCTAGATTCTCGTATTAACTTTCGTCTTTAGAAAACTTAATATTTTAAGTCCCTAATTTAACTTTTTGTTTATAAACCAAGTAAAGAAAGCTGAAATTTATTTTGTTTTGCACGAAGAAAGGACCTCATGAGATTTAGGCCATTGTCTGCATTTTTCATGTTTTGATAAGAACAGATTCATCATGGGAATTAGTAAGAGTTCGAATCACTCCTTTTTTGAATTTTAATTACTTTCGCACCGATTCTTTGCCCTCTGGGGGCGTCAAAAGCTTAAATATTTAATCCACCTAAATATTATTCAATGATAGCATGCGATGTCAACTTTTTTTATTAAAGATTTAGATTTTAAGTTGCTTTGAAGTTTTGATTATGGTAGAAAAATAGGATTTTTGTCCAGGGGGAAGTTCTCGAAGCTGAAAAGGCAAGTGAACCGCGCTAGAGGCGAGGTCACATCAAATCAAACAATGTCAAGCAACCTGGTCACAGAATAGGAAATAGGCAGAAGGGTAACTCTCGTCGGTTCCTCTGTTGTTTTTGAATCCCGAGTCAACAATAGAATTCCTTAATGCCCCTTTAACCTCGATTACATTAGATGAACTTAGCCATGACAAATTGTCATTTATTAATCAGATATAAACGAATTATGATACATAATTGAATTTGTTCACTATCATGGGGCATTTCGTCTCAAATAAAGTTGTCTACTTTCATTCTTTTTCAAAATTTCCCCGACAGATACATGCTATGCCTCGTATAAGTTAACGCATGCGCTTGTTTTTTTCATGCTTCACCTGATAGGCAGGAGTTCCCCTTCTGCCTAATTCCTATTCTGTGATCTGATAGAATCAATTAAGGTCGCGATGAGCAAAAGGCACAATTTAGGACATTTAACTGTTTCCTGTCGATCTTGGTTTTGGCTATGTACTCTCTGCTCAATTAGGAAGTCAGTTATGGAAGCGGGACATTTCCGTGGCCCTGAAGGAGGGGTTAGCAGGGGCTTTCCCAGGGTTATTTCGAGAGTTTGTACGGGTGTGATGGAGTTACCTAATTTATATAATGAATGTTTAACGAATCCATCAAAAATGGCTCTTCACTGCTAAATTCACAATTATACAGTTTCTGAACTGGTTTACCTTTGGTCCTACTTTAATAACATCATATTTTGAATATGTAATGCCCTTATTACGTCATGGTCTAATTACGTCATATTCTTATATAATCATGTTCTCCTTACGTCATATTCTTATGACGTCATGTTCTAATTACGTCATACATGTTCTCTTTACGTCATATTCTTATATAATCATGTTCTCTTTACGTCATATTCTTATGACGTCTTGTTCTAATTACGTCATACATGTTCTCTTTACGTCATATTCTTATAACGTCATGTTCTCTTTACGTCATATTCTTATAACGTCATGTTCTCTTTATGTCATATTCTTATGACGTCTTGTTCTAATTACGTCATACATGTTCTCTTTACGTCCTATTCTTATATCGTCATGTTCTCTTTATGTCATATTCTTACAGTGTCATGTTCTGATTACGTCATATTCTTGTAACTTGGTGTTATAATTACGTCCTATTCTTATATCGTCATGTTCTCTTTACGTCATATTCTTACAGTGTCATGTTCTAATTACGTCATATTCTCATGACCTCTTTTTTTAATGACGTCATGTTCCTTCACAGTTAATGAAACGAGATGACGAATTCTCCAAAGGATTGGCAGGTTTTATTGATGAAAAACTATCAGGCAAGCAACATATAAAAGTCACACGCAGTGATAAAGTTGGTGAATTAAAATCAATGATAAGAGAATTATTAAACAAAGCTGATGAAAGCAAAACTCAAGGTTTGTCGATCAGTTTTTACATTTGTTGTTTTATCATATCTTAGCAAGAATTATGAATTTTTGAATAATTAAAACTTTCTTCTTCGTATTAAAATTATTTCTTTCGTCTTTAAAACTGTCTAATTTCAAGAATTCTTTCTTCACCTTCTTTAAATGCTTGCTTCTTTCTTTTTTTACATCTTTTCTAGTGAAAATCCCCCCTCTTTCATTTTCAATCTTTTCCTTCTTTCTTTTTCATTTTTCTTCTTTTTGTCCTTTCCACAATCTTCAGAGTATAAATTATCATAAATATTGCTGTAAAATGTATTTTAATTAGTATTATTAACTAAGTAATTAGTATTTACTTTAATGGGTACTCATATATTTTTAGGATAGGGGTGCTAAGGCAGGGGCACAAATCACCTACCCAAAAAATAATTTCTAGCATAAAATTAACCCAAATAGATAATTTTTCTCAAAATGTTTCGTTAGAAAATCACATATTATCAATTTTTACAATTTTCTCATATTCAGTCCCAAAGAAATATTTCCAATTTTCATGAACCCTAAAAGTAATTGAGCAATTTACTGAACAAAAAGTAACTTTTGCTCATGTTAACTAAAAGTAACCTGAGCATATCTATCCTAACTATATATGAGTACCCTCCTTGAGATTTGTACTCCTGTTGCGTGGTAGGGATGGGGTATTCCCCCATAGACCTTCCTGGTCAGTGACACTGCTCTAAAGAGACCGATTTTTCATTTCTTAGAAAAAAAGCAAGTATCACCACCCGCCCTGCCTCTTGATACTCAGACAAAAGAAGTTTCAGACCTGGAAGTTTTGGTGAAAAATTTGCTTAAGGAAGTTCGCAACAAGAGAAAGAGGGAACAGGACGGATGGGTCCATTGGGGAAAGAAGGAAGCTGAGAAGGACGACAAAAAGGATTCTGCGGAGGATTCAGACGTTGAGCTTGCCAGCTTGTACAAAAAGTTGAAGGATTTTGTAAATAAAGAGGAAGCGAAGGATGAAAGCACTGGGAATGCTGTTGTTAGCGAAGAGACAATAATTACTGACTCTGGGGTCGGGAAGAATGATGTTAAAAGATCAAAGGCCAAAGGTGAGGTTTTTTTGTGTAGTCGCTTAGTCGACGTGAATACAGAGGACTTAAAAGACGTTCCGTTTTCTCTCAAGTTTAACCATCTAATTTGTCTCACTGTGATTACAATCTATCAGTCTATCAATCAATAAATTTTTCTGTCAAACGGTCACGCGGAAGGTCATGGCAAAGGACACCATTAGCACGCTTTGTTTTCATTGGTTTTCTAAAAGACCAATAGGTGCAAAATGCTCGCAGTAAACCTTTCTTTTGTTTATACCATAGGTGCAGAATCTGGCCTCGTTTCTAAGTTGGACAATCTTATAAAAGAGATTACAACAAAGGCGAAGGTCAGCCATTTAGATGTTGGAGATTTGTCTTTGAACGCCATTAAGAAGATGATCGCTGATAAAGAAAGTTCAGCTGCTTCAGATGTCAAAGAGCCAGAGGTCAAAGGTCATCCAAAACCAGAAAGTGATAAAGAAAATGATATATCACTTGACTCGCTTCTGGACGATGCCAAACAGTTGCTGAGGAAATACAAACCAAAATCGAGTGAGTTGGTAAATCGTTTTTAGTTAAAAAAGAGCAAAAAATACTTTTATGATCGGGTTACTAGTGATGACGTCATGAAAATCTAATTTTGGATTTTGAATAAGCGGTTCAATCCAGTTAAATGAGACATTCATGGGAGACATCGCCAAACTTAGCGAATGTCCAACGTATCGGGTGGACGACTTTTGCTTGTAAGAAAGCAATGAGAATCGAAAGTCAGTGCGACTTGGTGCAAGTCCGAGATACCCAGGGACGACTTTTGACGTATCTAAGATAGGAAAATCTAGTAGGAACTGAAAATCAGCCCGACTTTGTGAAAGTCAGAGTTAGCAAGGTACGACTTTTGACTTACATAAGATAGGAAGTTCCAACGGATACCGAAAATCAGTGCGACTTGCTGAAAGTCCGAGATACCCAGGGTACGACTTTTGACGTATTTAAGATAGGAAAATCTAGTAGGAACTGAAAATCAGCCCGACTTGGTGAAAGTCAGGGTTAGCAAGGTACGACTCTTGACTTACATAAGATAGGAAGTTCCAACGGGAACCGAAAATCAGTCCGACTGGGTGAAAGTCAATGTTATCCCGGCTACGATTTTTGACTTATATAAGGTAAGAAGTTTCAATGGGAACCGAAAATCAGTCCGACTTGAATACAAGCTCCAAACATCGTGTTTATAGCAGACTTTTAAATTTGTACTTAAATTAGTTTCACGGATTTAAAACACTATTATTGGAACAGTTTTTTTGCAGTACAGAACCTGGAAATATTAACCAATATGTTATAAAATGTTTGCTTTTTTCAAAATCATTTACACTATTATTTGCTTGCTGAAACTTTTATCTATATGTGTGCAAATATTTTTTAATTTGTCGAACGTAAATTGTACAATGAGGCTATTATAGAGTACCGAAGTGATGACGTCATAAATATCTATTTTTAGAATTTCTGAATTTTGATCCCAGAACCTAAAAGAGCATCATGAAATACCTCTAAATATGCAAAATCAGTTAAAGGCACTACGAATTGGCTGAGATATGGCCACTTAAGCACAGGCTCTTGCCCCATCAAGCCTCTGTTATTTGATCTTGGTTCATAACTTTATGAACCAGGCCAGAATAACAGTAATCCGTTAGCAAACTTCAAATCTTCTGTTGGACATATCTTGCCCAATTTGGAACGTATCTAGCTAATTTTGCACATTGAGAGGTATTTTATGCCGTTCTTTCAGATTATGGGGCCAAATTTAAGAAATTCTAAAAATAGATTTTTTATGACGTCACACTTCGGTACTCTATTGAACTCGAGCTTAAATTTGCGGCAGGCCATAGTGGAGAGAGTAAATCGGATGAGATTGTGAAAGAAGACGTCGCTGTTGAGACGACAACAAAGTTGAAAAGAAAAACGAAAGAGGAGCAACGAAAAGAATTGCTGGCGAAGCTGATCAAGCATTACAACTCATTAATGAAGAGATCAGCAAAACCATCAGACGATGTCGAGGACGAACTGGAAAAGCTTTCGAAGAATCTCAACAAGAGAGAAGCTCATACAAGCAATGTCAGTAAAGAGACTGAAAGAGCCATTAGGGGATTTGATATCGAAGTAAGTGGTAAGAAAAAACGCAGCTCGCATCCAAAGTAAATATAACCCCTGTCTGTTTTATTTATCAGTTTTCGTGCGTAACAAAAGAATCTCCTAATATAGTATTCTCACACCCTGTTAAGGCCTTTTTTTAGAATCCAACAAAGTACCAGAGTTAGTAGGCCTAAAATTTGAAAACTGCCCCTGTGAAATTATGCTAATAGCGCCCTGTGTTTTGAATTCCATAGCTTGTTTATTTGCATGCATTGCTAAATAGCATCAGACCTGTTTTACATGCTGAACAGGCCTAAAGACCTGTCTTTAAGCCTGTTTCTAGAGTCCAGAAAATTGCCAGCATTGATAAGTCTTGAATTTGAAAAATACGCCAGCGAAATTGAAAAATACGCTAACAGTTCTTTGTGTTTTGGATTCCAAAGCGCGTTAACTATAAACAGTCTAGATACCTTTAGACCTGTCTTTACATTGTCTTTAGGCCTATTTCTAGAGTTCAGAAAATGTTTCAAAAATTTTACAGATACTCCGGCGAAATTTTCATAAAGGCTCCCACTGTTTCGAATTCAAATGATCGCAAACTTTACAAGATGCTAAATATATCCACCCCTTAAAGTCTTGACAGACAGCTCCATTGACTTAGGCCAACATGCTCCAGCTCCATTCCAAATATTTTTAGCTTTAATTTTTAATGATATTCCTTACAACTCTCCAACCTTTTGGACTTTCCCCCCTCGTTTAGCTCTTGTTGTATCCTTTACCATTATTCAAATTAACCAATCTGATTGTGACCTCAATATTTCTGTTTTTACTCTTCACCCCTGCTTATTGCAATTTTTTATCAAATTTCTTTGTTGACAAAAAACACAAGTGTTCAAATATAAAATTCATTTATCAATTAGCTTAAAACAATTCGAGATAAATCTTTGGACAACTTACTTATTCAAGAATTCAAGTGTAATATTTTTTACGCCATGACTGTCCCGCGGTAAGTCGCAGTCTTCTGCGGCAAACGTTCCCAGTAAGCTTGTTCTGCAGATAACCGCGTTGGTATGTATTTGAATACAAAACCATGAAAGCATTCCTTTTTAAAGCATTCCAGATTTCTAGTATCATATTTTTATTCCACAAATTGACATACCGTAGCTTGTCCCGCGGTTGGTCACGGTAATTCAAATCATTTCCCGGCTAGCAAACGTTCAATAAGCTTATCCCGCGGGAAACCGCGCTTTTGTAACAGTTCAGGCAGTAAAGTCATATTTTTATATTGTAGAAGCGCCATTTTTAGTTAAAGCAAACATTTTCTATAATTTTTAATTGCGTTTTATAATAGTCCTCTGAATAAACTTTTATAAATAAACTCTTCGTCCACTGAGCAATATGACTTCGCAGACTTTTGACGCGAAGGAAATTTTTGATAATATTTTGATAATTCTTGAACACGCTGTCTTGTATGTAGATTTTTAATAAGTCTTTATACAATTAAAAATGATTTTCTTTTGTCCCTTTGTCTTTGACTGCACTTTTGTGTCATTTTGCCGAGGACGTCAAAAAGTATATTTTTGGAATTTGGATCTTAAAGGCAGTATGTCCCTCGTTGTTCTCAATATCTCTTTTCATGGCCACGAAATTAATTCATCGTTGATTCAATGCACAAATAAACAATCAGAATGAAGAACCACAAATGCGTAATTTCCCTGAGCATCACGAAGGGGACAGACTGCCTTTAAAATCTTGAAAAATACGAAAAGATTTCTTTAAATATTCAAAAACAGGTATAGGCTGAGATAAGAGCAGTGAAACACTTGAAGTTTGCTAAAAGATTTGTTTGCCTAGGTTCGTATAAATCTAGAGCCAAGCCAAATTTCAGCAATTAATGTGAGATCGTCTATTTTACCGCTCCTGCTTGTTTACCCGGGCACTGCTCGATACGCACATCTTCTCAGAGCCTTAAAAACGACCTTTGAATGGACGTAAAAAGACCAAAATACGAAGCAATAATAGCATTTAATCTTAAAATATTCATGCAAGGTAACTTCAAATAAGATATAATTTTTTTACAAGCTGCCTTGAAAGATACAGGAAGATTGAAAAATAGAATTTTTATCAATTTTTGCAAAATAGAATTTTTAACAATTTTTGCAAAAAATTACTGAAAATGGCATAATGTCTATTTATTCAAAGAAATGTTGATAACGAATAAAGAGAACTAATTAGTGAAACTAAAAAACTTGTCGTCCTGAAAACTCCAAAGTGGAGAATGAAAAAGAATTTAGATCATACAGTGAAATAAAAATAAATGCGAATAGAAATCATCTATTTGCCATACCTTAAACCAATTCTTCTGATGACGGACGCTTATAGAGATATTATAAACCTCTTCGAAAGGTATATTATATTTGTAGATATGTTGTATATTTAAAATATATACTGTAAAAGCTCTATTTAGCCCCTGGGGGGCTTATTTAACCTTTTCAATCCTAGAGCGGGGGGCTTAAATAAGAGGGGGGCTTAAATAAGAGGGGGGCTTATTAGAGAGGGAGCTTATCAGAAATTTGAAGCAAGAAATGTTTTAAGAATGCTCTTGGCCAATGTTCTCAAAAATTTTGCTAGCAGCTTCTAAAGTTTAATTAATCAATTATATGGTCCTTATCTTCATCACCAGGATAAATTGATTACCCTTGGACATCTTCAAAACAGATTTCGACTGACTGCTAAGTTGCACTAGTTAGTCTTCACGTAGGCCGTATTTAATGCACATGATCTTATCATCACCACACCCGTCAAGAGACCCACTAGATGTGGATGTTTTCTATGTTCAACATCAAAGGCTAAAGAGGGGGAAGAGACTTAAAAGAAAGGAGGGGCTTGTTTAAAGATTTTGCTTGATAAGGGGGGACTTAATAGAGAAGGGGCTTAATAGAGCTTTTATGGTACATTGAAAGATAATTTTTGAAAATATGCGCATAGTCAGATTTCCTAAATTTGATATTTTACGCCAAACACATCACTTGCACTTTACATTTCGACAATCGCGCCTTTCAATATAAGGGTGTGCTTATTCGTAGGGGGGCTGGTAATTCCGTTTTTACTTCAAGGCTGGAAAACAAACATTGTTGCCAGAGGAAGAGGGGGAAGGGTGACTCAATTTGCCCCTGAAATCTGGCCCTAATATTCTAAGTCTTATGGTAGGTAGGGCCATAGCTAGCTTTTGAGCTAAATGGGGGGGGCTGCTACCCCATTTGCCGACAGGGTGAGTGGGCCATTCTATATTTGCAGACGAATTTGAACATTTTTCGACAAAGCACCAATAAATTTTCTCACAACCTCTACAGCTCATCGTAGTGACGGCCATGTTGGTTGGAAAAGTAGTTTAGAAAAGATAAAAGACTTCCAAATTAATGAAAGACCCTTTTCATTTCCATTTCCAAACCCTTTTCATTCCATTTTACCCCTGGGAACATGAAACAATAACATAGAGGCCTAGGGCCTAATGACGTAGAAGAAACCCTTTTGTATACATTTCCATGGCGGCCAGGATCAATTAGTGCGCGCTGTCCGCAATATCCCAGTTTTATTTTTATAAAGATTACACAGACGGCCTAAAGAGATATCTGGTTACCCATTCCGCGTAATCAAAATGTCTGGAGGTGGATGTCGCTGTCTTATCGTGTCGCTGTGGTATTGTGAGTACCTTTGTTGAGGCTAATTCCGTATTTATGTAGTTAGGCCATTTTCTTTCCATGCAATGCTGAATGCTGAATACAACATCATTCGCAAGGGTTTTCAAGCGAATATTGCAAATCTGTTTATTAAATTCAAATAACATTATAGCTGTTGCAATGTACAGCATCGTTTCCTTACAAGCTATTTTGCGATTTTATTCCGATCAAGTTTAATCCGATCTATCACCAACATCTGTTTTGATTACGTTAGCGATTTTGATTAAAGCAAACAAAAACATTTAATCGCTAAACGCATTGCAATTTAACTATGCAACTATTTCTAATCTAGATATAAATCGAATGTAAATTGGAATTTTATCATTAGACTCGAGATGTGATTACACAAAACAGATATGTAATTTCTCTTTTAATGTTCAAAACAAATGTTTTTACGGATCAAAATCGCACAGGCCTAATGGTTTCCCTCGATAACCGATTTTTGGCTGGACTTCTAAATTTTGCAAATAAAGGTAAAAATTATGCAAAAACCTACAAAGTTTACATTGATAAAGGGAGCTGGAGAATTATTTTTCAAAACAAGAGGTTACATTTAAACTTAAAACAAAATGCATATTTTTGGTTTCTGAATATATTTTTAGTCTTAAAGACTATTTGGTCATCAAACAATTGAGAGAAAACTTTGTTATGTCTCAAAAAGAAGAAACATTGGCCTCAAAATGAGATCGGTGAAAACATAAGAACATTATGAAAGTTTTTTTGTAAGTGGTGCCCCACCTCAGGGCCCGTGCCACTAATCCTAAACTGGAGGGGTCACAAATGTTAAGAAAGTTTCCTTTTACCCCCTCTAGCCCCAACTGTGGCAAACATTTCAATTCTTCTGTTTGATTTATATACTTTGCTTTAATGTATTTGTTGTAATCTAAAAGTTTATCTATCAAATAATTCAAGCTGATTTTATTGTTTTATTTAGCAAAAAAGTAGGGAGGCCATAGCCCCCTGTCCCCCTGTGGTGCCGGCTCTGCAGTATCTTTTCTGTCAAGAGTGGCCAAGGTTTTCTATAAATGTTTATTGTGCCAGTTACTTATCTTCTCTGCACCAGGCCTAGCTCTTGATTTCTCTGTAAGAAATGCTTTTTACCTATAAGCCTTTCTTCTACGTTAATTCACTTTGGGGTTTCTTTGGTGTAAGGAAGCCGACAGTTCTGAGTTTCATTCTTAATGTGGTCATCATACAACTGCTTAGTTTCATCAACATTTTAATTTCCTTCAATAATTTCTTTTTTTATATCTATTTCCTTCTCTTTTCTCACTTTCCTCCCATTTCCTTATTCAGTTTTTTCGGTTGCATCACATCTTGCATTCTTTTCTATATATCGAATCTCACCATTCTCTTTGCTCGGCTTGTTTCTTTTCTAGCCACTTGATAACGAGTACATGCTCAGAACATTGTGTTTTTAACAATCAAACTATTACATTTTCATTCTGGTACTAAATTTATTTGCTAACTGTATATCGATAGTTTGAAAATAACTGTTTAAGTAGTCAGTCATACATATTCTAGCCAGAAATGTACATGTTCTGGTTTATATGGCGAATGGATAGCAAGTGGGTACCATCATGTTTTCTCAACAAAAAATTATTAGATGTATACACTTAGGATACAAAAGTATGGAAACAGTAGCTAAAATGGCAGCTCACAGTGGCAAAGGGACTTAGGTGATAAATTTCTAAAAGAAAATTACAAGGTGAAGGTGCATTGGAACAATTGTTAATGGTGAAAAATGCATTTCACCATCTGAACAGAACAGAACTGTTCTGTTCTATACACCAAATAGCATAGCCAGTTGCTGTTCTATAAAATACACTCTGCTTAAACACAATCAAGCACTTCATGACAGGCCTGTATACCATAAAGTTTTATTCTATTTCATTAGAGATGTATAAATAAAAGCAACATACAATGTTTAGTTTTACCATAAACAATAAACAAATTCTCTTAGTGTAATAAGGAAAACCGAGAAGTGCTTCTCTTTAATCTCATTTTTATCTCTTGTTGGATTTTTTTTCTTCATTAACAAGTTTGTGACAAGTAGATTGGCGTATTATTATTAGACATAACATGATAAGAATTTGAACACAAACCAAAACTTCATTCCTAAATTTTTTCTCTACTATGAATAAAAGGTCTTATTTATTGATGAAGTAAAATATTTCATAAAAGCCCAAATTTTGACAGCTCCTCAAAAGGGCTTTCTGTGAAAATATGTCTTGAAGTGCCATACACAAAGTTTTTATGCATTGAGATGCATGTCCAGAGACAAATAAGACTTGAATGGGTTCTGTAGGAGCTGGGTGCTATACGTCAAGGAAAAGTTCTTAAGACCAGCCCTCTTTTAGATTGCAAAGATAGCTTCCTGTTTACAGACTACATAGAAACATACTTTAATATACTTTTTAATATACTGAATAAGTTTTTAGAAGACTCATCTTGGTAGACCTTTGGAAACTTACGAATCAAGTGCAGCTGGATACTGCTACCTTGGTCTGCTAAAACGATTGGTTCACATGCGAGTCCTTTTACAAAAACTTACTACTGTTTTTTGAATATGCCCTTAGCTGAACCATAAATTTGTGTCATAATTTGTAAGTTGAATTGTATAGGTAATTTAAATTTAATTTTTGTGTACAAAAAGTCTGCTAAGTTTGAGATTTTGCTCTTTAAAAGCATGAGATATCTGCTCTTATGGTGTAGGGCAATTCTTGATGTAGTATAGAAAATCATAATTCAAATTTAGATGTTTTGAATTAGAAAAAAACTTTTTCGAAGCAAGAATATTCCTTTGAAAAAGGAAATTATTTTGGGACATGCTTGAAACCTTTTGTCTGAAACTCTTCTAAGTATCAAACTTGAAAAAATTGATCAAAAACTCTCCTATTGTAAGCTCACATTTCTGAAAAGCGTGTTTTGATCCACAGCTGGGTAAATATACATGTAAACTTTGTTTTTTTACTTGATTATCAAACTTTTAAAGGGCTTCTCTTCTTAAACATGTGATGTAAAGATGGATCTTGTGCTGTGAGTGGGAGGCAGTGTGTCATGCTGTTCACTAGCTATTATTTTTTTAATTTCAAGGGTCCTGATGAAAATAAAGAAGCGTGACAAATTAGTACAATTGATGAATAGCAAGTAAAAGAACCTCCTTTGTTACCAAATGCAAAATCACTGAAATATAAAAATGTTATTCTCTTTTTCAGTAAGCCATTAAATGGCACAAAACATTGCCTTTAGATGAGAAGTTGTAATGAAGGACTTGAATCCTGAACTGAAATATTGAATAGCATATGGTCATTCGTTTGCAGCAGAAGATTAAATTACATACATGTTTTATTATTTGAGGCTGGTTGAGTCATTGCCAAATTTATTCTACTTGATTTATATCTAACTTGACTAAAGTGTAAAGATAACAAAAAAATAACTTTTTTAGTAATGAAAATAAGAAATATATATATACCTAATTGTTGATTGAAATAGGCCAACCAGAAATATAAGCACATGACTGTTGAGGTTGACCAATCAGTGCCACAAAAAACTAAAGCATTTTGTCTGCCCCTCTTCGGAGTTTAAAACGTCAGAACATAGATCGAAAACTCTATGCTAGAAAATAAATATACCCAGTTGTGGATTGCAAGAAGCCAATCAAAAACGCGAGCACATGACTGTTGAGGTTGACCAAACAGTGCTACAAAAAACTTAAGCTCTGTCTGACACTCTTTGAGGTTAAAACATCAAAACATAGATCGAAAACTCTACGCTAGGAATTTATTTATATAACAATAAAACAATAAATGAAGAATTCCGCAGTTCCTTAAAACTTTGTAAAAAATAGGTATTTCGGGTATCATTTTTCAAGAATATCACTGCCTGCAAATGCGTCGAGTTCCGTCGTTCCGCTGAGAACTTTCCAGAATTCAGTACTCAGCGACAAATTTTCTTCAACTTCCGTTGTTACAGAGCAAATTAAATAGTAAAAAGAACACTTTTTATTTCACACTAACAGTCTTTCCGATCACCTGCAAGTATAGTTTATCCTTATCCACACTTAATCTACAAAACTGCTCATTTCTAATTAAAATCCTTATTTAATCCCACCTATTTATAAAACTACACATGCCTACTTAGCACGATTTCTATCCACCTTAATATTCTAAAGGAAAGATAACAGACACAGTTTGTTTGGCATTGAACAACAACGTTTTTTCATTTCCACGCATATGTCTAATTTCACCTATTCCCACGAATCTTTTCTCTTTTAATTTTTCGCCGTGTTTGTTTCCAAATTTGCCATTCTTTTAACGTTCCCTCCTTCTTCGCACATCTTTTTATTTTATTACTTCCTCGTCTTCCCACTTCTCTTCTTCTCTTCTTTCTCTTTTCTTCCCCTTCTTTTCCTTTTTCTCCTTCCTCTTCTCCTTTGCCTTCATTCCTTTCTTCATCTTCTCCTTCTTCATTTTCTCCTTCCTCTTCTCCTCATCTTCTTCTTTTCTTCCATTTCTTCCCTTTCTTCTCTATTTTCTTCTCCTTTGCCTTCATTCTCTTCTATATCTCCTCCTTCTTCTCCTTCTTCCTTTTCTTCTTCTAAATCCCCCTCTACATCTTTACCTCATTTTCTTCTTCTACCTATGCTTCTTCTTCGTTTTGTTCTTCTTCTTATTTCTTCTCTTTTCCTTTTCCTTTTATATTCATGCATCAGTTACTCCAACTGTTTTTTTCGGTTCCTTATTTTTCAAATTTTAGGGGCAGAAATTTAATTGTTATCCTTCCTTCAAATTGTTGCCAACTTACTGGCTGTTTAGGGTATCTTCCCTGCTCAAAGCATTCATGGACCATCGTGATCTGCTTGGTTCAACATGTACGACTTTTGAGTTGATTAGTCTGAGGAAAGTCTAATGGGAATTGAGAATCAGTAGGAATTATTGAATGTCCGGTTTATCTGGGGTAAAGCTTTCGATTAGAAGCAGGATAAAAAATTCAATGAGAGCTGAAATGAAAGTCCGGCTTAGTGAAAGTCCGGGTTATCCGGGGTACAACTTTTGACTCGGATAAAGAGGAAAATCCATTTGGACTTGAAAATTGACCCGACTTAGTAAAAGTCCGAGTCATCCATGCTACGACTTTTGGCTTGAATACTGTAGGAAAATCTAATGGGAATTGAAAATCAGTCCGACTTAGTGAAAGTCCGAGTCATCCATTCTACGACTATTGACTTGAACAATGTAGGGAAATCCATTGGAACTTGAAAATCAGTCTGACTTTGTGAAAGTCCGAGTCATCCATGCTACGACTATTGACTTGAACAATGTAGGGAAATCCATTGGAACTTGAAAATCAGTCTGACTTTGTGAAAGTCCGAGTCATCCATGCCACGACTTTTGACTTGAACAATGTAGGGAAATCCATTGGAACTTGAAAATCAGTCTGACTTTGTGAAAGTTCGAGTTATCACAAATGGGATTGCACTCTTTTCAAGAATTTGTATTAGACTCTGAAACATGATATCTCATTTTAAAAAGCAAATATTGAAAAGGCATGTGTGAGAGTTGTACTTTAGATCTTTGTGTTGTTTATTGTGCAGTGTCCAATTTTTGTAGACTTTGCTTTTGGCATTGTTTAGGTTTCGCTTTCTGGCAGGTGACAAATACCAGATATGTGCAACTGACCCATCTCTAATTTAAATCTTCCTTTGATTGGCTGCAGCTTGATTGACAGCTGTAATTGACCAATCAGAGCGCGGTATATCTTTAAACACACGAACGAGCCTTATATGACCTGTTTCCTATTGTTTTTATAATCGTCTTTTTCATTAACAGAGGCAAGCTAATAGGCGGTTACAAAGAGCAGCCGAATCCGGAAGGCAGGTGAAAAACACATTACAAGTGCTTTAAACACAAAGATCGTCCGTTTTACAACGAAAAGAAAGGCTGCCTGCTGCAAGGAAAGTTTACTGTGTTTCTTGTCGAGATTTCAACGCGACGCTAATTACCAACACACCACTCTTAACGTTGTTGCTGCCAGAGATCTACTTTTCAAGTTGTCCGGTTTAAAGTCCGGCCTTCATGAAACAACTGGGTGTTCATTTACTTATCAATCATTTCGGACTTCATTTGCGGAATTTTTTGAACATCCTAGACGTTCAATAAAGAACTGACCCAAGAAACTAGTACATTGGTCTGGTTTTATTTTCTGCGAAAAGCCGGTTCGTGGCTTATCATTCTGGACTCATTAAACAACCTTATTGGACTTGGTGAACGCTAATAGGAGCCACTGTTCCGGACATTATATTTTGGTTTTCTAATGCAAAGCGGATATATACCGGCTGTTCGGTTGCATCTTGTAATTTAAACCGGACCAAACCGGTTTTTTACGAACAGCATCTCTTCCATGATTAAAAGCATGTGGTTTCTTCAGAAAAAGATCAAAGAGGATTTTTGAGAAAAATATCTTCGTCACTGGCGTTGGAACAATACTTATGTTAGAGAAAATGTTTTTCAAGATTTGCCGATAACGTTTGCCGATAAAGTTTCCATCTTCCGCAGAAAATATTTTCCAATATTGGTTGACATATCGAACCATTCAATCGCAATATTAGAAAACAAAGAAATTGAATATTATTGGAAATATTATTGAGTGTGGTGTAAATATTTGCTAGAAACCTGATACTCAATAAAACCTGATATTTATGGTATTGTCGAGTTATCTTCACCAGATCCAGCTAGACTTCTTTGAAGTATAATTTGCAGTATTACTATCGTGGGTGTTAGATATTGGACGACATTTTCAAGTATCAGTTGATTCAAATATATGAACGATATCGTAGAAAACCAACTGGAATCAACACTTAGCTGTAGAGAGTCAGTTGTTGCTAAATTTTCGACGATATTGTATAATATCACTTGGTTCTGATATCGTATTACCTTCTATTGTACATTTGAATATCAGCTGCTGCCAGAGTTTGGGAGATATTGTATAATATCAGCTGGTACTGATATGATATTGCCTAATACTGGTTAATATCAGTTCCTGGAAACTTAACAACCTACTGTTGATCAGTTAGAGCAGTTTCCTTACTCCGAACCATAATGTTTTGCAGAGAATAACACAAATCATTTAGACTGTATTGCCTTGTATTGTGCACATGAATGTGTAATATCTATGGAATATTATGCATTAAATATTTGACTGAGCGGGAAAACAATTTGATACCACCTGATATCATCATGAAGTAACACACGCCTCGACATATAACTTTGAGCTGCAAGCTGCATAATATTGACTGCAAGTAGTGAAAATTTCATTCGAAATTTCTGGGAAATGCTGAATACTTGGATTGGCACGATACCATTCGATATCATTTGATGTTATGGAGAAGTAGTACGCTTGCCATGATATCATTTTGAGATAAAATTGCACGATATTTGAGATAGTATTGAATTTTCCACGGGAATTAGCAATACACGACCAAGAATAATACATATGAATATCAGCTGATGTTTAGCACTGACTCGATACAGGTCCGTATTATCACAGACTGGATATAGCTTTTTACGATAAATGGCTGACACGCCACGAGCTTGTTTAATATCTGACATAATAACGAAATCAACCACCAACAACAACAATAACAACAATCATATTAGCAACAACAGCAACAACGGTAGCCATCATGAAAAATCGAAGACCTATAGCAATGGCGATTTCATCTCGAAAAGAAGCGCCGAACACGGAGACACTATTTCACGGAACAATTCCAAGGAAACGCTCCTGCGGGATGATTCTATAACCCGGAATGGTTCGAGGAATAATAGTTGCGATGACATACTATCAGCAAGTAGTCACGCAGCGCCACGAACATCTCTACAGAAAGGCCTGTCTTTTAGCGAAGACAAGGCCAAGAAACATCTTCATGGATTTGTGATGGTTTCATGGAAAGTTAGGCAATTTTCTCAATTGGAAAAGGCCCTGAGGCCAGGTTTGTAAAAGTCTGCTTCATAAATATTTGAAATGAATCTGTTATTATAGAAAGGGACCTATGTCACGATGTTTATCTTGTATGTGTTAATATGATCGTAACTGCCTTGAAGTGTGTAGTGTGACGTCATTTAAGCTATGCTGGGTCGAATTCAACAATTAAGATGTTCTGCATTTTATCGTTGCAGGTATAATCGCCTTTCAGTATAAGAACGATGACACCCTGGAATCTATACTACAATCAGCGGAACGGGAATTGGACGGAAGGAAAGTCCGATACATTGCATTTGTAGGCCATGGATCCCCTGGAAAGCTGGTGATATGTCACGACCAGGTACCAGATTTTCAAGAGTTTATATAATCGGGGAGATGCCAATTATTGTCCGACGGGGGGCTGACTGGTTAGACAGGCGCTAAGACTTACCGGATACTGGCATGTCATGTAATGGTCCTTCTATGCTCCGAAAAATTTTGATCCTCCCCCTCTTCCAGGAAGGGAAATAACTGTTTACCCTCTCTCCCTGGTGCATTATCTGCATTTATCTGTTTATGCTCTCTAATGTATGACAAACAACGGGTCTTTCCTCGACCGACCTATCTCCCTGTGTGTAGTCCAGGAGCACACACAGCGATGATTCACTGCGCATAAAACTGATTGGATACCAGGAGTGACTGAACAATGCAACTTTAAATGTCATTTTGCTCAAGGTTGTTTCCCTTATCCGCGGTTTTTTCATACAGAATGAAGAATTCCTTCAAAATTTATCTCTTTTGGCATTAAACTTTCTCAAGGTATCCCTTTTCCTGTCTCTAAAGACCTTTTTAATTAAAACTTGCTAGGTTTGTATTCTAAAATAAGTTTCAGAAACAACTAACAACGTCGTATTTGTTTAGGTTCTCTCTGCCCGCGGTTCTCCCGCAGAGCAAAATGAAATCATGGATTTCTTCAAAGGTTTAGTCGAAGTTTTAATGGACAGAGCTGACTCGATGTCAAGACTGGATTTCCTCGCTTGTCCCTTGTCTGCAAATAACGAAGGCCTACAAGTTCTGAGACATCTAGAAGAGTTTATCAAGGTTTGCGTTTGTTGTTGTTCTCAGAGTCAAAAACTTCTCATCGACTCTTGTGTCTCATTCTAATACCTAATTCAAACATATTGAGTTGAATTAGTGATTCGTAATGACGTCATCGGTTAATCAGTGATGACGTCATAAAATCTATTTTTAGAATTCTTAAATTTTGATCAAATGGCCTAAAGAAGATCATGAAATACAACTAAATTTGATAATTTTTATCAAGTTCCTCTTAAGGGCAACCTCCTTTAGATTTAAAAATATGAAAATATGGGATGATGACTACACTGAAATGAAACTTGTGTTTAGTGTTTAGTTCTTAAAAGATCTTGTACTACTTGTGAACGCGAATAAAGTTATGATTATTATTATCATTTTGGTTTCAAGGTTCCGGTTCATTCCAGCAAAGATCTTAATGGTGGAGACTCAAAAGATGGGTGAGTCCAACCCGATTTTGTCTCGTCTTTCATTACGCAATCAGACGTCACAGATGCCAGTGAATCCTTGTGACTTTCCATCACTGATTTTTAAATCTAAGTCTTGTAACAGTTCCCTGCTTTGATTGTAATCATTCTAACAACACTAGGCCCATTTCAGCCCTCTCCACGAATTTTTTGTCGCTTAAAAAGCAATTCAATGGCATAGCGATAAAACCATAAAAACTAATTTTAGAATTGTTTGATTTCGCAAACATGAACTAGAAGAGAACCATAAAATATATCTTAAAATATATTCCTAGTTTTATAATTTGTATATCATAACATAAAAGAAATTCATGAAATACCTCTAAATGTGTAAAATAGGGTAGATTTGTATATTAACGGCTCGAATTTTTTGATATCGATTTAATATTCTGAATTTAGGGAGACTGTCATCTAAGTTCTGTTATTGAATATGACCATATTTATTTCAGCTATGTCCTTCTCAACTTTTCATCTTTTTTTTGCACAGGTCAATATCAGATGTGTATTTCAAAGCTGGTTTATTGAGAAGCTGGTCCGGAAAAGCGAACCAATCTATAAGCAATTTTGAGAAGATCCGGACTGTTGGAAAGGGTAGGTCAGTTTTGACATAGTCAGGAACAGACTTGGATCCGGACGAAGGTCTACATTCAGACCGAAGGTGGTCTTAGAACTTTGACGCCCGGCAAAGATCTAGACACAGATCAATAGATTTTAAGCCTTAGATTCGGAACTGGAATTAAATCATAGATCTGGACTTTAGACTCTCTTAGACACCGAGTCATAGCACTTTTGACGTTAGATTTACACAAAAACACATCATAAAATGTTTGATCTGTGACTAGAAACGTGACAAAATCTTTAGGCCTTAAACCAAGATTGTGACTTTGACTAGAGCTATACTCATAACCAGACCAAGACCGAAACCTAGGCTTCAGATCCTGGACTCACAACCTGAACCCTTGGCCCTAGACCTTAGACACTCTACCTTAGATCTGACACGTTTGACCCAAGACCTTTGACCTAAGACCAAGAAAAATACTTTTTGACTTACGCCTTAGTTCCTAAGCAAATAAAAATACTTGTAGACTTACCCAGATAGTCGCCCTTAGACTTGCTAATTTTGACCTAAGACCTTTGACCTGACATCTTTGACCTTAGACCTTTGACCTAGACGTCTAGACTAAAACCAAAGATCTTGATTCATACTGTAATGACTTTTTATCAAACAACAGTGGTCAATTAGCTCAGTAATAAAGCAGTCACTTGAAAGCGTCTGGGACGCAAATTTCATATGTAGATCAATGCTTGGACGTAATTGAATTTCTTTTGGTATTCCTGAATTTTTGAGAATGCCTCAGGAATGAATCTTTACTAACTTTTTAAATAGGCCCTTCCTGTTTCATATTGTCCTGGAACTTCTTGATAAAGAGTTTCTTTTGCAGGTTCATATGGAGCTGCAGTACTTTATCGCAAAAAAGATGACGATTCTCTTGTCATCCTCAAAGAGATAAACATCCATGATCTTAACGCAACGGAACGACAAATGGCGAAAAATGAGGTAACCTTGGACTTTAAATGATGTGGGCTACTGGGCCTAGGTTCAGACAATTGTCTCAACACTTGTTGCCGGGATTCAGGGAGCTGTCTAGTTTCCATACTGCTAACCCTAACCCTAACCCTAACCCTAACCCTAACCCTAACCCTTTACTTGAAGTAATTAATCATACTAATTTATGTCTATTAATCATGCTTATTTATGGCTATCAGGTCGAGCAGTATGGAAACTAGAAAATTCCGGGATTCACATCAAGAAACGTTAATCTTGTTTTCATTTGTTAATGACCTTTCATAATCTCACTTTGAGTAAGGTGCTACTTTTGGCGAGCTCCTCATTCTTTCGACTTCTCGAAGTAAAAGGTATAATTTAAGTTATGTTAGAGATTTGGTAAGGGGAATGATGCTGGCCTATAAATTGAAATGAATTTGGATACTGGGCCAAGGCTCGGACAATTATCTCAACATTTCTTGCCCAGATTTGCATCCAGAAGATTTTTTTGTATTTAAATTTTTTGTATTTAAGTCTTTGTTTGAGCTGCCTCTGTCTTATAATCACTTTTTTATCCCGTAAATGTTTTCAAATTTTCATTCAATTTTGAAAATCCAACACGAAATATTTATTTTATTTTATTTTTATCTATAATCATTTTTGATTCCATTTTTCATCCTTGCTTTGAAAAAGCAATCACTTTACAACATACTTAATGCTTTTCCGTCTATTGTTTCTACTTATTATAATTCTTAAATTATTTTTATTTTTGCTCTGCAGGTCAAAGTTTTGAGCATGCTCAGTCATCCGAATATAATTAGTTATTATGACAGCTTTGAAGAGGAAGGGACTTTGTGGATCGAAATGGAATACGCAGATGGAGGGTAAGGCATAGTTGTTTAATATCGAACTAACAAATCCATGTCTCAAAATACAAATGAAATATATAAAAATTAAAGCAGCTGGCCTGCCATAAAGTGTTCAGTGATGTATAGGGCAGGACGGTTTAAAAAAGGAACTTCGAGTTTTGACACATTTAATGCGATCACAAGATATTTTGTATGCTTTTAACTAGACTGTTTGTGTACAAGAAATATTGACTGAAGAAGATCACTGTTAACTGGTATTTGCTTTTTAGTGTTTGATGCCGTATAGGGAGATCGGAAAGAGATGTGAAATAATAGGACGGTTCTAAGTTGCTACTCTGAGTTTCATCCTGAATGCAATCATCAAGCATCTTAATGGTTTTTACTAGACTATTTGTGTATAAGCATATTGACCAATGAAAATTACAGTTTACTGGTCTGTCATAAAGTGCTCTATTCCGTATAAACAGAGCTGTACACGTATTTGGTGTATAGAACAGGACGGTTCTAAGTTGCTACTCCGAGTTTCACGCTTAATGTGATCATCAGGCATTTTGCATGCTTTTATTACTAGACTATTTATGTACAAGCCATATTGTCTAAAGAAAATCACTTTAAACTGGTATGTTGGCATGTACGAAGAATGAGTATATTAAGGGGACAACGTGGGGGAATGCGACAAGGCTCTTTACTTGGTACTTTGCTTGTATAGCATTCGATGCCAGAGAATTGTTGTGTAGGAAGGGACGGTTCTATGTTGCTACTCAGCAATCACCAGGCAATATGTTTGTCTATCTATCTATTTACCTATGTGTTTATTTAATCATGATATTGTATGATGATATTGGCAACGAGTATTATTATTGACTGGTCTGCAAATTATCGATATACACATTTTGGTGTTATCGCAATTATTTTATAGCATCAATACAAAAAATCATTACACAATTTGAACAAGACCCTAAATTTACGATATGTATTAAACATAGGTATATTGTAGATAATAATTACATGTAATATATGATACGAAAAAAGTGTTAACAAAATTTACGTAAATCTTGATGTGGACTTCCAAAATAAACACACTCTACCCAAAAATTGTTTTTATCAGTCGATATGGTAATCTTTTTCAGAACCCTTGGACAATACCTTTCAAAACTGGAAAAAGAATTGGACGAAAAGGAAATTCTCCTCATGTTTCAAGAAATGGTTTCAGCAATTAAGTATATCCACGATCATAACATTCTTCACAGGTATGTGTCATTCCCCTCTACCTTTCTCTTTTGAGGGGCACTACCCCTTATCTTTCATGGGGCACTAACCCCTCTCTATTAAAGGGGCTTCTCCTCTTTCTTAAGGAAGTTAACTCCTCTCTATATTAAAGAGGATTGATTCCACTCTATTTAGGGCTGACCTCTTTCTAATTTAAAGAAAAGTTGACCTCTATCTATCAAGAGTTAAGATCCTGAATTTTGATCTCTTTTTATTAAGGGTTAATGCCCCCTTTTTATTATTGATAACAAACCCCTTCTATCTTATTGGGGGCTAACTCCTCTCTGTTTCGGAGGCTGACCTCTTTTAAAGTCAAAGAAATCTTGACCTCTTCCTTCCAAGGAGTTTGCCCCCTCTTTGGTCGGGCAGGCTGGGGTGCTGTCTCTTTCTCCAGATTAAGGGGCAAAAACTCCTTTTTTGTATAAATAGTAAATGTTCAAGACTTTATTGTTCAACCATTTGAAAGAGTTTTTCTGCCATTTATCTATTGCCGAAAGAACCTTTTGACGTAAAAGAAAATATTTATTGAAGATCAAAGTTTTCGTTCAATAGAAAATTACATGCCCTCATATATATTTTTGCATTTTTCTTTTTGCCTGGTATTGTTTTTGCCCAAAAACCTTTCTTATCTAACTGCAATTTTTGCTTTGTTTTCTCAAAGAGACCTCAAAACGGCCAATATATTTCTAACCAAAGAGAACAAGGTGAAGTTAGGAGATTTTGGCATCGCAAAGATTATGTCAACACGGCAAGATGCAAACACTGTTCTGGGCACACCGTATTATATTTCGCCAGAAATGGTAAGGCAAATTTACTTAATATAGATCGCCAAATATATATTTGGTACTTTCTTATGTTTCTTTTATGTTTGGAACAATAGCAAAAAAGGTTACTTGCCTATTTTGTTTTCAAAACTTCTTCCCTGGTTGGATGTCCATTCTGATGATTTAACCAAGTTCTAGTGACAAGCAGCCCCTACTCCAGCCCCTATTTCAGCCCACACTCCTGCCCCCACTCCTTTCCCCACTCCAGCCCAAACTCCGGTCTCCACTCCTGTCTCTACACCAGTCCCCGCTCCTATCCCCAATCAAGCCCCTACTCCTGCCCCCACTCCAGCCCCTACTTATGCCCCCATTCCAGCCTCCACTTAAACCCCAGCTCCAGCCCCCACTCCAGCCCCAATTCCAGTCTCCACTCCAGCCCCCACTCCAGCCCCAACTCCAGCCCCCACTCCAGCCCCCACTCAAGCCCTTATCGGGTATATTTATGTAAACAGACAAATAAAAAGCAGAAACAAGATGAAAATACAGCATCTAATATCAAATCAACGGATCTAAATAAAGGGATATTAAAAGCGGTTATCGCCACATCTATTTATTAGCAACCAAAAACAATAGAACTAAATTTCCAGAGAAGACGAATCACTGCATGAAGTTCAATTCATAGGCCAACTTGATGGAAGGTAAAATCGCTTTTAAAGTGGGGGGGGGAGGGGGGCTATAATAGTTCTTTCGGGAAAGTAGGGAGCTCAGCCTGCTGAAAGCCAGTCAATTGCTTAGTTTTGATTATTGAGTGGCGGGGGGCTAAGCCCCCAGTAATCTGTATCCTGTATTGTATCTTGTTATTGTAAGCACGATAAACAACTTTTTTAGTGCGAAGGCAAACCGTACAACGAGAAAAGCGACATGTGGGCTCTGGGCTGTATTCTCTATGAAATGGCAAATCTACAAAAAACATTTGAAGGAACGAATCTACCGGCGTTGGTCAACAAAATAATGAAGGTTTGTCTTATACAGAGAATTAAATATTTGTTATTAAACTTTTGAAAGTTTCGGTCGAAACTTGTTGGAAGCAATTTTGCGGAAAACTCCTTGATTTTAGAGCTTTTTACCCCTGTTTTTCGAGGTTAGGGTTAGGGTTAGGGTTAGGGTTAGGGTTAGGGTTAGGGTTAGGATTAGGGTTAGGGTTAGGGTTAGGGTTAGGGTTAGATACCCAGATAAATAATTTACTGTAGAAGTGACCGTTCTATTTTAGAGATTCGTTTTCTATTTAAGAACCTAATCATTCGATTTTGGAAGGTTGGTGTTCGATTTTAGAAGATTTGTGTTCGATTTTGGAAGATTAGTGCTCGATTTTGTCGAAAAAAGAAAAGAGAAGTGAAAAAGGACGCGTTTTGTAGCTTGAACTTCAGTGATCGAAAATTGAAGAGGAATCTTCTAAAATCGAACTTTAATCGTCCAAAATCGAATTTTTAACTTCCAAAATCGAACACGGGCCTCTAAAATCGAACATCAGATTTCCAACATCGAATGCGAGCCTTCATATTCATTTTGCTAAAAGATCCTATTCAGATTAAAATTTTCCAATAATTTACCTGTTTAACATTGCTTAAAATAAGTGAAACTTTAATATCTTGCCAACTTTAACAACTTTGCAAATTCACCAATGTTTTTCAGGTTCAAGACGCTCTTACTTTTTCTTATAACCACTTTCTCAATTAATTTGTTGTTTTTATTCTGCCTGATCAGGGTTCATTTGCTCCAGTTAAAGAAATATACAGTTTGGAATTCCGAGTTTTGGTAAGACTTCTCTTGCAGTTTTCTGCAAAATTAGGTTTTTACTTTGAATTTCGCCAGAATTAAAGTTAATAATTAAACGTAGGCTAGCTCCTCTTAAATTGTAGCTAATGAATGTATCCATTTATAAACAACGTTGAGAATAAATCGTATCATATATGGTTAAAAGAAAGAATTTTAGGCCGTTTTCACCCAGGGACATATCACTTCACGAAAACCTTGTACCCCTTTGGCAATAATATTTTTGTTGTCAAGAAATCTCCGTGAAAGATCCTAAAAAACTATTGTTTAAAAAAATGTGGAGTGTTTTGAAAGGTACACTCCTCCGTTTATACATGACATGGTTTGTCAACAACAAACATGGAGGCAGTTGCACCTCTGCATCGTGAAAAATAATTGACACGCGAAATTTATGAAACGGTATCAGAAGGGAGAATCCCGTGTTATTTGACTGTTATTTTTTCTGCTACAGGTCAGGGATTTGCTGTCCAAAGAACCGAATCTCCGACCATCTGCACAGGAGCTTTCGATCTACCGCATTCCTGAGGTAGGAGACGTTTCTTTGATATCACTGAACTGCAGGGGGCTGGAAACTAGATCGATGATGACGTCAAATAGAGTCCCGGGTGAATTTTCGTTAGCCATAGATTTTCGTCAGCGAAATAACTTATATAAGCCTTAAACTTTTCTGAAATAATAGGGAAAATCAATTGAATTAAAATTGAATAAGTCAATATCAAATATCTTCGGGGTAAGAAGGCACCCCTAAGCATTTTCACATTAAACATCCCCCTTTTTGTTTGAATGTGCTTTGTGGAAGTTGTCATAAAATTTTCAATATTGTTTACAAAAAAGAGGTTGTTGGAAGAATTTAAGGAATATTTTGAAATTTTCTGTTAGAACTGAACAAGATAAGCATATTTTAGTTCAACGAGATCTTAGGCGCTTTGATAAGGGGAAAATTAACAGTAACAGAATCTTGCAAAATTTGTTGCAAAACTATCAACGTAGTAAAACTCAAAATTGTCATCTTTAGTTACGGGAATTGATATGACTTTCTTCGAATGTGCTTTTACGACTCTTTTAACAGTTTTTGCCAATTATTGCAGCTTTTACAAAAATTTGATGCTAAATCTGGTAAAGATGACTACGATCTGTTTGGTGGTACAAGAAGGTAAGAAATTTATAGATTTTTTAAATTCGCTTTAACAGTAGGTTTCCATAAGAGAAGTTTTAAAATCTGGAAGTGTAAAATTTTTCAGACTTTCATACAAAAGAGAATCTCAAATAGTTACCCAGAAGTATTTTCCTTAATTTTTCACAATTATTCCCTGCTGCAGTTTCTTTGGTTAATTTCGTTCTATCTGATTTCCTCAGATCACTGTTGTTCTATGCTGATGTGTCTTCCGAAAAACTTTTCCCAGTTTGTGGTCTGCCTTCCAAGATCCAGATAACGGAGGTTTGTGCCCCTGTGTTTTACTCATTCTAATTTTTAACGCAGTTTCAGACATGCACTAGCCATTGCACATGCGCATTATCACTTGAAGCCCTGGCTTGAAGTTTAAGAGTTGTGTGGTCACAGGCAGAACCGTTGTGCCAATACTGTTATTATTGCGCATGTGCAATAACCCTGCAACACTGTTTTGTTTCGAAACAAAGAACTGATAGTTTCGTCTCCCGAACAAATCCTGACACTTGACAAAGTATTAATTTGTCCAGAATAGACGGGGGGGGGGGTTTGGTATAAACAGGGTTGGTTGAGAATTTTCCATATTATGAAAAACGGGCTGAATACTGATCTTGGCATTCCAGACTTTGTTTCAACTTTTTCTTTGACAAGTTCTGTTTTCAGAATCACTTCGATGTAACTCAAGTAGGCCTAATTATTCTTAGCTCCAACAATTGTATTGCAGCACGAAACGTGACTCAGCATATTTGGGCATACCCGCTCCTTATTTGTATTATTTATTTAGGTTTCATTGGGAATAAGCCACGTCGTGGTCGTGAGCATGGAGCGCGGGATATTCGCGTGGGGAGACAATACCCACGGGCAACTAGGCCACGGTGATCAACTGGAACGCCAAACTCCACAAGAAGTTGTTGCACTCAGAGGAAAATCAATTTTAAGGTAAGCATGTAGTTATAAGGTGATTCTGAAATTTTAAGGTGAGTGTACAGTATAAAGGTGGGTCTTTTGTGAGTTTTTTTGTGAATCTACAATGTTAAGGTGCATCTGCAGTAGAAAGGGGAGTCTACAGTTTTAAGGTGATTCTTAAGCGGTAAGGTGATTCTTTTGTTTGTTGAAATTTTGGGTTAAAAGTGGATTTGCCAATGTTGTGTTGTTGTGCAAGCTTTGAAGATAAGATTCAAACAGAATAGAAAGGGTTCAAAAATAAAAGGGAAGGAGTGACAGAGTCTTTGAGAAACTTTGTTGAGGAGATACAAACAAGTGCTGAGAAAATACACAATTAAGGGGATTTACATGAGAAGTGTGATGATCAGTTTGTGATGCTGACGCATCTAATTTGCGAGAGGATTTTGTAGAAGTAAAACGACTGTTTTGTTATTATTTCATTTCATTAGAGATCATGAAGCAACTCACTGATTTCCACGTTAAAAACATTATATGTAGTTATATAAGCAAACGAATAATTAACATAATTACCATTGTATGAAAACGAGATAGATATGAAAACGAGGTTATACCATATATAAAAATTATCCTGTTACAGAAGAGGGGGAAGGGATAAAAATATCGAGGAAGTGAAAAGATTTCAAACCGAGGGTGGATGAAGAGAAATGGCAGAAATATCAAAGGGGTTAAAAGACGAGAGAGGAAAAGAATTTTAGGATAATGCTGCAGACAAGGTTAAAATAGAGTCTAGTTTTGAATGCAGAAAAGAAATTTGTTATTTAAAATTAAAATTTCATATTTTAAATGTCCGCAATGTCGAATTCAAGTAAGGTGCCCGTAATTTTCGTCATATAATTTGATCCATGTCTGGTTTCAAAAGACTCGTTTAAATAAACTTGAAAGTATGTGGCAGCCCTCAGAAATTGACAGGATTGAATGAAACTGCTTTTTGGTATTGTTGACTTTATTTTCGAGTATTTTATTGCCTGTTAGACAACCCACATTAATAATTGTACAGATTTTCACAGCTCTTGAAACCTCCTTACATTAGCATTGACTTCCTGGTTTCGTTTGATAAGAGACTGAAGAAACAAAACATCTTTTAGGCTGTAAAGGTTTTTTTTTTGTGTTCACGACTAGAGGCGGAAATTGATAATTTCTCGCGGGGAAGCCATAACGTCAACCTTACCGATAACATCTTTTCGATGACTATAAGTAGTAATTTGACGTCAGAAGATTTAACAAAAACCTCGTCAAAAAGTTACATTAAGGTCAGAAGTTACAAAACGAAGCGGTTCCTGCCGCCAAGATATTTTCTCCATTTGAGGCTATTTTTAAAGAAACCCCTATAAATCATAGACAAACCCCTTTTATGTTGGGGGACTTTTTCATACCACACCCTCGCATTGCAGTCTCACAACTTGGTGAACGATTGAACCTTTCTTCGAGTTTCAAGACTCACATACAAGCTTTGTCAAAAGAACAAACCTTACAAGAAACATCAGGTAGAGATTTGCCTAAAAATAAGAACAACTTAAAAAAAGGCAGGCTAGAATTTCAAACAACTCAGAAGATAAAATACCAGAAAAGATGGAAAAATAAAAGCAACAGAATAACAGAAAACGATAAGCAAAGTAGCACTGAAACAAAATCAAACAATCTCACCTGGCAACGTTTTTCTACCATAGGGCATCATGCGGTGACAATTTCACGGCGTTTCTAAGCGACAATGGCCTCCTTTTGACCTGCGGGCAGGGCGAACTTGGTTGCCTAGGCCATGGAAACTGGTTGGACGCTGGGAAGCCGAAATTGATTGATGATCTGTTGACACGTGACATCGTCTCTGTGAGCTGTGGTCGACAGCACGTGGCTGTTGCCTCTGCGGACGGCGCTGCATTCACGTGGGGTGTTGCTGATGACGGGAGACTGGGTCTAGGTGATGAAGAAACAAAGTATGACGTCACTTTATGAAATAATAATGCTTTCCTGATGTTTCGTTTGTGTATTTTAGGTTTTGTTACTTACAAAATATAGGGATAGGGATAGTGTTGGGTCGCTCTGGTTTGTGAGCCGTTGTGTAGCTTTGTGAAGAACAATGTTTCCAAGCTTTTTATTGAGTTTTTCCATATTTCTACATAACATTTTTTGAGCTTTTTTCATATCTTGCTATGAAATTTTGTATCACTCCTTCAAATCCCTGCCCCTAATCCTGGGTGCCACCAACTTATTTATTGTCCATTCCAAGCAGATGCACCCCAACTGAAGTTGTGTTCAATGAACCTGTCTGTGTCCGGGAAGTTCGTTGCTCCGCTGATGGTACCGTGTTTGTTATGGACACGGGGGTCATCTTCGCTTGTGGCAGGTATGTCAAATTAACTCTATTTCTGGATAGCAAGCCTAAAATTTATTGTGGTGTTCCTGCATATGACTCGTGTGTTTACCCCCTGTCTTGTATTTAAGGGGTTGCATAGTAGTTACGATTTCAGATTCTTTGGATCCGGTTTTGGATTTTCAATTTTATAAATGATTGAATCTTCTGTTTTAGAAACGACTGCAACAAAATTAGGCTGAATCCGCGACAAGGATTTTTGCAGCAACTCAAATTATCGCGTGCTAGCAAGGTACAAATTTAATCGCTGTTGTTTACGTTCCATGGCGTTATTTTAAAGTTATTAACTCGCAGTTTAAGCTCGTGTTTATTTGAGTTTATATAACCGGGCTTCAATTGAACCAAAAAATTAAGATAATACCACTATAATACAATTAAATTCAATTCGACTTTGCAAACAAATTTTATATCATTTTGTACCAGTTCAAGTCATAACAAAGCATTTGGTCCGGTCTGGTCCGGTCCGGTCCGGTCCAGTCCAGTCCAGTCCAGTCCAGTCCAGTCCAGTCCAGTCCAGTCCAGTCCAGTCCAGTCCAGTCCAGTCCAGTCCAGTCCAGTCCAGTCCAGTCCAGTCCAGTCCAGTCCAGTCCATTTTCATCACATCCCATCTCATCCCACATCCCACATGGAGTCACTATACGTTTTTGAAAACTTCTTATCTTTTCAGAACATCGAAAGCGTTAAATCCCCTGTCCTCGTCAAAGACTTGTGCAAGTACCAAATCGCCGAAGTTTGTTTTGGCGAAAATCACACAACGATAATGACTGAATCGGGACAAGTCGCAAGTATGGGCAGCAACAACGAAGGTCAGCTTGGATGCGGAAACACGAAATCACGTGATGTTCTCACTACAGTCAAAGGACTGGAGGATGAGCATGTCATTGTAAGTAAAGTTATTGTCTTTTTTGGTCTTTTATAATGACGTGGTGGTTCCAGCCCCATTTACATCACCCTGCGCCCCTCGTATATATTCATATATCCTAGTGGCCCATGCCCCCTACCCGCTTTCCTCTAAACCCTGCCCAAACACTGAAATATATCCACGCAAAATATATATGTCCACGCTCGAGGTTCCTGCAAAAATCCTCCTGTATCGCTACCCCACACATCCTTTCTAAAACCCTCTGTCTAATAACATTCGCCCCATTTCCCCTGCTTCCCTTTACCCGTATTCCGAGCCCCATGCATCTCTGCTCCCTACCACAATCTCCCTCCCTCTCTCCCTCCCTCCCTTCCCCCTCCCTCTCTTGTACAACCTCCCGCCCTCTTCCTTTCTGCTTCTGACTCTCTGCCTTCTTTCACCCTACCACAATACCCCTGCCTCCCTGCCCCACACACCCTTTCCCATGCTATCCGCCAAAAGTCATGTCATGAATGTTACTTATTAGTGTTGAGCTGAATGAAGTGAGTTGAATTGAAACATCATAATTTCAGGCTATAGCATGCGGGAAATCGTTCACATTGGCCGGTACGAACGGAAACACTGTGTTCTTCTGGGGAACGAAACCCCGTAAGCGAACCAGAAGTTACAACGCCTCGGAATCAAGTTCGCCAAACCAGAGCATCAATAGTGGAAACCGGACCATAAGAAACCGGAAATCATCCCTTGGAAGTTTCGACGATTCTGGACTGGAAAAAAGCGCTAGTATGGATAAAAGTGGCAGCATTGGGTCCGAATATGACAATTCTGGGTACGGTTTTCAATTTGAAATACTGTCGGTTTATCAGAAACCAGCTTGAGTAGTCTAAAATAACTATATAGTTTTCATCCAGTGGAACCTAAAATATTGAATATTAGAGTAATTTAGAGTTAGATTTTTGAATTTCTTTTATATGGTATCTCAGAGGTTTGGGACTTAATGTGGTGTCTCTTTAAAGCGTCTGATCACTAACTGAAAGATCCGTAACTTTATATTTACAAAATAAAGCAAGAATGAAATTTCTTTTTGTTAGTCTATCGTGCTCGACGCCATAAAGGCAGAACTGTATAAGCTTTTGTTGTATAGAACAAAGCAAGAAAATGCACTGAGAAATCACAAGGATAGGCTTTCTGTTAAAAACATGAAAATTGATGAAACTTTGCAAATTTGGAGGCAGTTCTAAGAGAAGGAACAGAAATAAGACATCGATCTTATTCAAGTCAACATTTCATCATCTTTAAAACTCGACAGGAGCTGGGTATCTGTCGACTTGCGGGGTAGTGTCCTTGTGTTTACGTTCATGTCGCATTTTTTAAGACAAATACTTTGTGCAACTCCAGAGTCCAAAACAGTCTCAAAGTATTTCTCCTGTTATTAACTTCTAACAGTACTACTCTCGTGAAACTGAAGTAGTTTAAAGCTAGCTCTTTAGGTTTCTGAATGTTTTTACTTCAATTTTAAGTATGGTGTCTCGGAGGTTTGGGACTCAATGTGACGTAAATCCTTAATGTTTCAACTAAATGTTTTTTACCATTCAGGAACAGTTAACCCAGGGAGTTGAAGAGTTAAAGACTGATATTCATTTTAAAACTGAAAATGAGTCTGTTTGCTCTTTAGGTGCAAAAGTGACACGGAAGGAAAGAACGGTAAAAGACCGGACAGTTGGTCAAAAAACCGGGCGGACAGTGCAAAATCGTTACCGGAGCGAATGAGTAATCAAGGTATCGAATCAAATCTATTTATTCTGAAAATTACTGAATTAAATCTAAGATTATGTCCTAAAAGTTACAATTCAATTCATTTTAATTTTCTTAATTTTATTCTTAATTTTCTAAATAATAAATCAATTGTTTTTAGAATTCAATTCAATGCAATTCAATTCATCTATTCTGGTGATTCAATTCATCATTTCTTAATTCAACTCATTTTTGATCTTCTTGATTCAATTCACTACTTTTGCAATTGAAATTCTTGATCTAGGGAGTTTGCAAGAAGACGTCTTTGACGAGGAGGCGGAACGTCTTGAGGTGCGGAGGAAGCAGTTCTTACGTAACATATTGAGGCAACAGAGTGAGATGAATGTGGGAATGCTCAAAATGGCGATGAAGGAGGGAGCTGTGGATATCATTCCAAGAAAAATATTTGAATTTTCAGCAATATCCGGTATTGAAGGTCAGCGAGCGACTCTAAGATTTTTCCTTTACCACCCTTCCTCCTGCAAACCTTCCTCTACCACTCTGTCTCTCCACCTTTCATTTACTTCTCTTTCCAGCTGTTCCGCTACCCTTCCTCAACCACTCTGTTTCACCCCCTTCCTCAACCACTCTTTCTCGCCACCCTTCCTCTACCCCTCTTCCCTGCCCCGCCACTATTTCTCTACTTCTCTGTCCCGCCACCCTTCCTCTACCACTTTGCCCCGCCACCCTTCCTCCACCCCTCTTTCCTGCCCCGCCACCCTTTCCGCTACCCCCACAACTGTTTCCCCTAGCACCGTCCACTGAGTTTGAGATGGTTTGATTTATTTCCACACTCCCTTTATGTTGATATATCTTTTGAGAAACAAGCGGAGTATTCTCACCTTGTCCCTTCCTTTCCTTAAAGAACATGGGACATTATCCCCATTTCTCTTTATTGACTATTCCTCTTTATTTGATTTATCTCTGCATGGTCAGTTTCCCCAACGTTTTTCGCTTTTGGCACCAAAAAGTCATGCATCAGTGGGGGTGACCCTTACCCCGATATTCCACCTAGCACCCCCCTGATTTTCTTTTCTTAACCCCTAGGGTATGATGACTGCGAAGAGTACCCCGTTTTGTTACAAGACATCAAATGCTGTGGTGACCACGTGTTTCTTCAACTCGAGACTAAAGCCCCGTTACCAAAGCGGAAGAAGAGAATTTCTCGGAAAGAAAGCAGTCACAAAGCTGTTGCTAATAAACAGCATTTCGAAGACTCGTCGTCAAGGTAACTGAAGGATCATTTAGGCAAATGTTGCTCCTGCTGCGTAAAAGCAATAAACCTGGCCATAGTTATGGTCTGTTCACTATAGAGAGATGTCTGTTGCAGGGAAGTGTCCGTTGTAAGAAAATGTCCGTTGCTGGGGAGTGACCATTGTAGGGAAGTGTCCGTTTAAGTGATGTGTCGGTTGTAGTGCTGTTCCCGTTGTAAGGAAATATCCGTTGCAGGGCAGTGTCCGTTGTAAAGATGTGTTCGTTATAGGACGGTGTACCTTGTGTGGAGGTGTCCGTTGTAATGAAGTGTCCGTTGTAAGGAAGTGCCGGTTGTAGGAAGGTGTACCTTGTAGAAAGGTGTACATTGTAGGGAGGTGTGCGTTGTAATGAAGTGTCCGTTGTAAGGAAAAGTCCGTATAGGGAGGTGTACGTTGAAGGGAGGTGTCCGTTGAAGTTAGCAATGAATATATTGAATTTAATTGTGTTGGGAATATAAATGAATATGTTATGCAGAACTTTTTTCAGTATGGTTTTCAATAAAGATAAAAATCTTCATGTTTTCATAGCATGACAAGTCATGGACAAGACGATTTAAACAGCTCTGAAGCTTCAGAAATGGATAACACTGGTGATGTAAGTAAACTTAGAATTATTATACTTTACAATAGTTTACTGTGGTTAACTTCCATTTACCACTGTAAATAAACCCGCCGCATATGGCATTTTTCTTTGAAAGACGAAGATTTTCATATTCGCAAAATTCACACATCTTGGCAGAAATTCATGAGAACATCATCTCATACAAGAGCAAGATGTTTTGAAACGTCGAGATCAAATTTCATTTCTGTCATTTGTCCTGTATGATGGGCTTGTTGAGCAGTGTGTCTCGACTTACCCTTTGTTGACTTGACTAAAGTTACTTGGCTCAACTTAATTTTATGAGCTAGCCTACTTACTAATTTTTTACTGAATTAAAATTATTTTTGTTTTTTCAATTGAAAAATGTTGAAAAAACGGGTTTGCCAGTTTATATATTTTTCAAGCTTAAGTGATTTAACCAGTTTTAATTCGTCTTTATCATTATTATCAGCCAATTCCGACGTCTTAATGTAGTTAGGGATAGTTTATTAAAGTTAACGGAAGTTAATGATAGTTGTTAGATTAAATAGCAAGTAAAAAACAGAGCAAATTACATGCCATTTAACTCCCCCACTGCTTGTTTACTTTGAGAGTTAATAGTAATAAAACCTCCGCTAACCATAGTTTACAATCGTTAACTATCTGTTAACCATGGTTTAACCGTCTATACCAAATTATATATGTCCACGCTCGAGGTTCCTGCCAAAATCCTCCTGTATCGCTACCCCACACATCCTTCCCAAAACCCTCTTTCCCATAACATTCGCCCCATTTCCCCTGCTTCCCTTAACCCATGCAAAATTAATTAACTTAATGCAAAATTCACACAATGCTACCATAGGCAGCGTTTAGCATTTATGTACTTAACAACTGCTAAGCGTGGCCATTAAAAGTTAGATAAAATTTTTCTTGAAGTCTGTCCAAAATATCTACAGAAATTCACATATAACGATTTAAAATCCACCTTGAATTTCATCTTATATTAGGTACCCTCCTGGATAAAGGACGAATTGGAAGGGGGAATCCCTGTTGACCCAAATATGGATGCATCGAGTGAGGATTCCAGTGATGCCGAGGAATCATCAGCGCTAAAGATCGTCCCGAAAGGCTCCATAAAACACCCGCAAATTCAGGAACGAATTGCACTTAGCCGTCGCTCTAGCAATCAAAGTTTGCGTCGTAACAGAGAGTTACGAGCTCGTATTTCGACAGGCATTGCCAGCACGCAAAGCGAAACAGCGATTCCTGAGAGTACAATTATCGACGGTGTCGCAATATCGACAAGTACGAGTTTAACTACATCGACTGCCGTAAATTCCTCGTCAAGTGTTAGTCGCAGCAGCTCAGTTACGGAGATCGATATGAATTCGCCGTTGCATGTTACGGACGAGGCGAAAACCAATTCGACGGTTCGTTCTAAACTTTTTAAGTGATGTTAATGTTATTAGGGTCTGTCTTGGCCCAATCCTTTTTGCTTTCGACAATATTTCTTTGGTCTCAAGTATTCTTAGATGTAGCTTTGAAGCGTGTGGTACTTTTCAGTTCATTTGCCTAACGATTGCATGAAATATTGAGTTCCAACTTAGAACCGTCCTGTTCTGTACACCAAATAGCGTGTACATTTTGGGAGCTGGCTCCGCCCCTGAGCAAATTTCTGATGATCGCTTTAAGCGTGAAACTCGGAGTAGCAACTTAGAACCTTCCTGTTCTTTACACCAAAAAGCGTGTACAGCTCTGCCTATACCGCAATTTTCTTTTAGCTGTTAAACAATGGTTACACATCCTTATATGTAATATTGTTTCTCTTGTGGGAGCCTGGGAACTTTTTGTACCGCCAAAGTAAATTGAACTGTTGCTAGAGAAAGGTGAAAGAGGCTTTAGTTGCACCATAGCTTGTGATGTAATTATAATATAGTTAGCAAATAAATTTAGTACCAGAATGAAATAGTTGCACCGTAGCTTGTGATATAACGATGCATAGTATAGTAAGCAAATAAATTGAGTGATTCATTTATTAATCTTGTTAACGAGTACATGTTCAAAGCATCGTGTTTTTATTTCATTCTGGTACTGAATTTATTTGCCAACTATATTCTCCTTATTTTGGATAAAGTACCACACGCAACGTACATTAGGCTTGTAATATGCCTAATTACCAAACGCTATTTTCCCTTCTGCCGTGTATTCAGGGAACAATAGAATTCCTCCCCCGATAGCATTTGTTTCTGCCCCCTAAAATACGATCTTGAATGTTACTGCTCTTTTCTCAGACTGCGGGAATTGCCAAAAATGATGTTGATCCGGGCATGCAGGCACTTAGTCTTTCAAAGGTCTTCCCCCGTCCAGCTTCTGGTCCTTCAAAGCGAGATTCTGGTGGCAAGAAAGAAATTGGGGGGTCAGCTGCAGCCATTCACTCTTCAGACAGTGGAATTGAGTTTACGCCTGTTGAGAACTTTTTCTCTGAAACAGAGGTTTGTTGACTTGTTCAATAGAAGGCTAGATCAAAATGGCGGTTTTTAAATTGGAAAATTAATATTTCTCACATAATATATGGTTAAGAAATACGATTTTTAAAACTTGAGTTTTAGTTTTTCTATGCCATCGATCTATAATATCAACAACATGAACGTTTTAATGATTTGATGAATATATTGAATAAATAAAAGTGATATTTTTGTATATTTTAGTGAATTATTTGTTAATATTATATTATGTTCCTTTTTTAGTCACCAAGACCGAAGAACAGCCCAGAGTAAGTTAGCTCCTCGGGATTTTCTTGACATTGATAAATTCTGTCATCTTCTCAACAAATTCTACTTTTATGTTAGATTTCATAAATTGTGTGGATGCCACATTCAGAGACCTTGAAAACGTATTTTCATACTGAAAACGGCTGAAAATCATCATCATCATTTTTATTGACAATCGGCTAGAAAAGGCAAGTTAAGATAAGTTACAGCACGTAAAAGGCCATCGATAGATATTAAAGTGGATCATCTGTCATCAATGTCATCGATCTGCCATCTGTCAATCATTATTAGCCAATCAAGGAGCGTGTGAGTAGAATCAAGCTCACTGGTTGGTCAATTATTTAGTGTATGTCGATTGCCTTTGAGGCAAAGTTATTATTCTTATTATTAATGATACGAACAGCCTTATTGGCCTAGATATCTTTTCAAAAAGTTATTCCACATAATCAGCTTCTCAACGCTCTTGTACGCAATTTAACGCCAGTTATGATTTCAAATAATTTGTTTATTCTCGCCCTTGCAAATTTGTTTGTTCTAAAGCTGCTCCTTTCATAGAATTTTTCTTAGAATTTGGAAATTTATTATCAAATGTTTTTACTGTAAATTATTTTGGAATTTTAAGAAAACCTATTTCTTTTTTAGAGACAAAGTTCCAGCAGGAGGAAAGAAGGTCTATGCTTTTGTAAATGAAAGGTAGGGGACTCGAATTTAAATTTGCCTAGCTCTGGTGATGTCATTAGATCCTCTTGCGTTATTACGTCATAAAGCTATAGACATTGTGGCCCAGGGTCAGGGCAGAGGTATAGGCTTACGGAGGACTCTTTCATAAAATCTACCTTGAGGGGATGAGAATGGAGTCATAATAGTGGGTTAAGAATGGGTGCTATTTCTTCTGTGAGTCACGTATAGCTGAAATGCCTCAGACTGCACACCGTACAAGTTGATTTATTTCGAAAATGAAGTGCATGGATTTGAAATGCGATGACGTCATCAATCTATTTTTAGAAATCTAATTTTGACCACGTTGTCTTAAAGAGAGAACAATTTGAAATACTTTTCGAAGTGCAACATTGGTTGTATTTGTTAAAGATGTAACGTTTAGGGTTCTTGTTAGGTAGGGCGATGGGCTAGGTCATAGGGCCTAGGCTCCGAATAAGTGACGCACAAAATATACTACTTCTTAGGTGTTATCTCTGATGCTTCACTAACTTAAACTGCGGAAAGACTAACTTAAACAGAAGCTAATTAACAGGATAATACGATCGTCACACTGCATGTTGAAAGACAAACACATTGCCATAAGAGACGTTCACTACACAACAGGACTTAACAGAACATGTAACTTTAACACGCAACGGGAACATTACTATTGATTACATATTAAAGCCAAACCGTTACAAAGATAGGATGAGATATGGCAAATGAAAGATTCGTATTTGGCCAACGGATTACATTTTCTGTGGCCTGGTTTATAGATTTAGGAACCAACAGCGGATTAAAATGATTTGATAAGAAAAGAGCCTGTGTTAATTTGTTGTTCATGCTAAGGTCGTAGAATTTGCCTTCTGTGCAAGACGATGATCTTAGACAAGGTTAAATGCATTTGAACCATATTTAGGTGCAACTCTTTTTAAGCTATCTTGCAAGTTTGCTACATACGGGACACTTAAAGGCTCTTGCCCAACCAGCATGCTTAGCGGCAGTTGTATTGAGAAATTGACTTGCAGTACGAAATTAGGCCGGTTTTGAAAATATAGTCGCAAAGCATGCCGGTTGCACAAGAGCCTTTAATGTTTTTAAAGTCAATGGAAACCATTCCAGCTCTTTTCCGTCATTATCCACCCCGGCTCTCCTTTGCTGGTTCAACTTATGTTTTCTCGTTATAGGCCTAAGCCAACAAAATCCAAGAAAAGTGGGAACGGGGCTTCTCAACAACGTGAACGAGGCGGTGAAATAAGGTAAGTTTTCTGAAGTGGTTTATCAAATTTTCTGCTTTTTGGAACTTTGGCAAGGTACTATCATCGAAATGGCCAAGGGACACGGTCTTTGCAGAAACAATCAAGTTTTCTGGCAGAAAGTTCAGAAAAATTTTCTCTAATCATTCTCAAGAAAGAAGTTCATTAATTTACAAAATCGTTCTTTTGCGACACAATGTGTGAATTTGATGTGAATCTACACAGAGAGAGATCAAGTCTTTGCTACGGTCTTTCTTCATTGTAAAAATATTTTACGAAATGAAATATGCTAACACAATGCAAGCTTTGGTACAAGATCAGAGTTTAGCAAATTTTTTGCATGAACGTCTTGTTCAAAAACACTTGGACAGATACAAAAGCGGCTCAAACCAGCTGTCAATCAAAATTAGCCAATCAAGAAGCGCGTGAATGGAATCACACTCACGGATTGGTCAATTCTTGATTGAAAGTCCCTTTAGTATCTTTGGATTGCCTTTATATGAATATTGAAAGATATGATGTCGATAAACTTCGACATATTTATATAATTTTTTTTCAGTTTTTGAATTTTGCCAGTTTTGTGCCTAAATATTCTTGTCACAGTTTTTCTCTTGTGACAAGATGTTTATGCCGAATACGACATTGAAAATGTAAATGCTGTTGCGCAACCAGCATGCTTAGCGGCAGCTGTGTCGAAAAATTGATTTTCATGCAGTACGATATTAGGCCGGTTTTAAAACTATAATCGCAGAGCATGCCGGTTACCCAAGAGCCTTCAATGTTAGTGTTAGTCTTCCGAGAGATATTTTAGCTACCAAAAAGTGTTTAAATATCATTCATATTTTCACGATCACCAACTGACCCATATCTAACTACTGATCAATACTTAGTCTTATCGTCCTTGTAGTTAAGTTACATTTCCTTTGAGTCACTCGCCAGATCAAACCATTCCAGGCTAGATTGTTTTCTTCCAGATCACGTGGTGCAGCAAGGGGGCGCCTTCCTGGCAACAAAGGACGTGTTGTGAGCGATAGGTTCGTTCCATTTTATTTCTTTTTCCTGTTGTGAGGAGCAGACTTTCTAAGACCAATAAAGCTGCCATGAAAAATTACAGTCGTTGTTTAAGATAATGCAGGGTCACCAGAAACTGGCAACACCAGGGGCACATGCCCCCTAATGAAACCCCTTTTCTTAGACGTGCTATCTTTGGGATTTTTGGGAAAGTCTTGTGGAATATGAGGCAAAATTGCAATAATTTATTTTGTATTGAAAATATCATCTTTTATAAGGACATTGGGAGAAGGGGGGTAGGGTGGGGGGAGAGGGTTATTTATTGAGCTATCTTTGTTAACGTTTTTCGCTCATAAAAATCACAACAAAACAAGAAGACTATTGTAGATTGAAAATATTACTCAGTCAGTTTATGTGGTAAAAACTTTCTACAAGGAGATTGTTGGTGCTGTCACACTTTCATGTTCTTTTCTGTTTTTTCTACAAGAAAACAGATTTCGAAGGTGAATTCTCCAATTATCTTTTGTATGGAAGTTTCCCCTGAAGCAGCCCCCCCTCCCCCTCATGATTTCCGCCACTGCTTACGGGGCCCCCTTACGAATCATGTTTTCCACCAAACGTCACCATATTCAAGAGGTAATGAACTCTAGGAATTGAGTTCGAGATTTTTACCAAACAAAGAGATTTTCACCAAACAAAATGATTTTTAGGGATTTTCAGATAAAATAGTATGATTTCCGTCAAGGGTGTACGCGATGTCCATCGAGTCACTTACCCATCTGCCATTATAACTATTCAGAACTCTGACGTCAGTCCACTCCTTGCCACGGAATTGTCTAGTTTCCATACTGCTCGACCTGATAGTCATAAACAAGCATAATTAATAGTCATAAATTAGCATGATTAATTATTTCAAGTAAAGGGTTAGGGTAAGGTTTAGGGTTAGGTTGAGGGTTAGGGCTAGGGCTAGGGCTAGGGCTAGGGCTAGGGTTAGGGTTAGGGTTAGGGTTAGGGTTAGGGTTAGGGTTAGGGTTAGGGTTAGGTTTAGGTTTAGGTTTAGGTTTAGGTTTAAGGTAAACTAATTACGTCATCAGGTCGAGCAGTATGGAAACTAGACAGCTCCCCTTGCCACGCTCTCATTTTGTTGTTTATTTACCTTTAATTTCACGTAAACAAGAAAATAATTGATGTTTGTTTACCAACAAATGCGTAGGCTATCCCTGTTATTTACATTATAATTTCACAACTCTCCATTAATGCGTTCAGCAGGTTGTCAGGAGGTTTAAACAACGTTTCTAACATTGCTGTGTATAAAGCACGGAATGTGGAACATGGGCTTGGGAGCTGGAATGTGTTTAAACTTGAATTAACGCGAAATTGTTCGAGTGTAAAAGATCAGTTGAAATAATGACCGAAAGTTAGAATAAATAAATAATGAACAGGTACATTGAAAGTTAACGTTATTTAATTATATCAAATTCGAAAAAAATTTAGTTGCACTTTCGTCTATCTACTGTATAAAAGATTGCACAGGCAAACTAAGAATTTTATCTATAAACTGAAGATTTATCGATCATCTCATGATTTGGCAGGTGCCAGTTTCATTACACCCTCCTCACTGGTTACGCCCCTGAAGGGAAATGCTGAAATTAATACCACTGTAAGCCAGGGACTGCGGAGGCGGGGCCTAAGGGGACTATAGCCCCCCCAATAAACTCCAAAATGTACTTAAAACCATACAAAAAGTCTCCCTGCTCTTGTTTTTAGCATGTTTAGTCCACCCAAAAACGTTCCAGCCCCCTCAGTCCGTAACGTTCTCCGCGGTCCTTTCTGTGAACTGTTTGTGCCATGTGAGATTAAAAGTGCCCAACGAAAAGCTTCATTTTTTCAATTTTCTTGTAATTTCTTGAGTCGATAAGGAAAATGATTGATATTTTAACCCTCTCCCCCCATGGCTTATTGGTATTGAAGAAAAACGTACCATACCCCCTCAAACATTCACTCTGATCCGCCCTCGTTGTTTCGTCTAGTTCCATTCCTTCATATTCCTTGGTCCGTAAATTATGCATGGCCTAATCTCTAAGCTGCACATTTTCAAGCTGATAGCTTCGTTCACGGTTTCCAAGGAGTTCCCTAACTTTTGAAACATGACCAAATATTTTAATGACATATTGATAAGAATGGCTGTGTTTTCATGGAAACGAGAGAAAACTTCAGAGCAAGTGGCGACAAACTTTTCTTTGCTAGCGACAGTTCACAGACTGTAATTTCTGTAATATGCAGAGTAAACTGGATTCGTTGCTAGAAAATTGCAATCTGAGCGAAAAAAAGTGGCCTAAATTGCCCACAGACTAGAGTTCATTGGAGGATATAAGATGTGTTTTATCGTGAATTTTTTATGATGTGATGTTTTGCAGAAACGTTGTGAGGGATGAAGAAGCAGCGAAACTTTGCGAAGAGCTCAAAGCGATGAGACAGTTGCACGAGCAACAGGAGAAGGTAGGCCATTTTAATCAAGGCTCACAGATCAAGGGGGCGGGGCAGGGGCTGCGGAGAGGAAGTACTGGAGGCTAAAAACACTTAAAACAATGAACAATGCAAAAAAGATTGCTTTTGATCTCTTGCATGTGTAGCCCCCTCTCAACTTTTTACCCCCTTCCCCCGAATACGTGATATGTTCCCCAATCCCTGGACGGGGGTCAATCACAGCCTGTCAGGTGCACTGCACTTTTGTAAATAGCCGAAAGGAGTTCATCAAAAGCAAAATGATTTGCAGAAATTTTCAGATAAAGCAATAGGATTTTTGTTCCATGGGGTGAAATGCACTTCCACAGATGTGCCCCTACTTGAATTTCCAGGGGGAGGGGGGTTTTGAATCACGATCAACATGTGGCTTTTTGTTATTTCTTTTTCCTGTCATTTTTAGGTTCTGGACCATGTCAGGAAAGAGGCTTTGGAATCCGAAGCGAGGCTGAAGGAGGAGATAGAAAAACTTCAACTCGAAAAAGCGCACGTAAGACGCGTTTATCCTGCGGGTTATATTTGAGAAGAGTTTGGTAGTGTTCAGACTGTTGAATCCATCTCTTAGTTCCCTCTGATTTTAAACATTACCTTTCTGCGCCCTTTTCGCTGGCAGTATCTTGAAGTCAGGCCCCTTTGTTGAGATAAATAATTTTTTAAGATAAATGATGCAATTTGTGTAAAGAATTCAGCATGTTTTTTAAATCTTTGATACTGATATTTTTAGTCTAATTTTTAGGCCATGGATAAGTTGTACAGAACGCAAGAAGAGCAAGGGCGACAGGCAGATGCAAAGATAGTGGCTCAACAAAAAGAGGCCGAGGTGTGTTGAAGCGAGGCTAAGTTGAACCATTCATTAACGGTTTTTCTAGCAAGGATTTGCTAATTCGGGCTCTTTTGAAAGGAGTTATTCAAGGGGTTCTGAAACGAGGATGGACGTGTAGAAGATGTTGTATTGTGATTTAATATTGTAAACGAGGCTGTTAGAGAAAAAGGAGATTAAGGCCTACCAGATGATAGTTAAAGTGATTCAGAGTAAAGTGGAGTAGAAAAAAAGATGTTTGAGAGATTGAAGGGAATATTGAGGAGAATTCACGAGGTTCTTTTGTGTTATTCTTGCCAAGTCGGACACTCTGTTACAGACGCTTGTAGAAATCATCTAGAATTTGCAAACAAATAGCTCGTTTTAAAGCTTTTTAACAATCACATGTTCACGCTTTTAATAAACAAGATATTCTGTTAATCGATATTCATAACAAAACCAGTTTGAACGTGATTCAAGTATTTCTTTTCAGTGGAATAAATTATTCATTTGAGCGTAAAACCGTTCAGTGTAGTAATTTAGGTTGGAGGTTAATTGAGAATGGGATGATGTATTGACAAATTTCTCTGCCAGGGTAGAGGGTTTAATTGTAGGCGCAGTTTTATTAGAAAGGTGCTTACAAAAGGGAGACCAATTCGAGGATCGACGGTTCACACACGGTCAGTGACCGCATCTGATTGGATCAGTTAATCTGACCTCCAAATGAATCTAACCTCCAAATGAATCTGGTATGTTATGAGGGCCTAAAAAATTTTCACAATTCCCTAACGGGTTTCTTCTTTATTTAACAGGATAGAGAAGCAGAACTGAAATCGGAGGTTTCCACTTTGAGAAGCGAGCTCAATAAGGTATTTTCATCGGATTTTCTGTTATTGGTTTTAGCAAAATAAGCAAATACAATGAACTGTGGTACGTCCATAGCAAAAATTCCATCCCATCATACATTTCTACACATAGAAAGATTTCACAGTTAAACCTGCTTAAGGCTTGAGGGCACCCCCGTGCACAAAATCAGACCGCCAAAACGGAGGCTAAGGGCAAGAGAATAAGCCTTATTCACAATAGTTTCCAAAGATTTCCTTAAATTTTAGCTCAAAGGCTCCTGTTACACGACCCCAATCTGTTGTATGCTCTCTGGCTCCTTTACGTTGTCTAGCCTTGTCAGTTTTCCCTTCCCATAAAGTGCTGCTTCTTATCCAATTGTAAATCTTTGATATTCGTAATTACTTTATTTTCTCAATTTAGCAAAGTGAGAAGCTGCAAGAAAATTATGGAATTCTGATAACTGTCCAGGAACAACTTCTTCGTATGCAACAGGTAGGGATGTTTACAAATATTGTAATGTGACCTCAATTTTTGAGCAATTTTGCTTGTAATTTCACATAGTTTAGTTGCCAATTGAGAGGTGCAGATCCAGAGCAAATTTGAAAGAGGGACAGTTGGGAGTGGGGGAGCTGAAAAATTCCTCGTGTCCACAAAGTAGCAAGTTGATATCCACTTGCAGCAGTGTCTAGTGTCTACAGGAAGCGAGAAGAGAAGTTGGCATAAGAGAAACCAAAACTGCAAAGATAGGAATAAGCTACCCTATTTTATTCTACTGACACAGGACAAGTATCCCCGTCTATAAGTACGTACGTAGGAGGGCCTATGTGTAAGAGAGTCCAAAACAGCGAGAACTCTACCTACGTACAATTCATGTACGAGGGACCAATGCGACAAGGATAGAATTGTGCCACCCTGCTTTTATCCTGCTGTCCAACAAAAACTCTTTGCAACAGGCACTCCCCCCCCCCTTGTACAAATTGAATAAGAGAGACTTTAGACAAAGCGGGAAAGGAAAACAACCCCCTGCCTCCGAATTTATTTGCTCGCTAGCCTTCATTTCTCTTACGTATAAATTTAACAATGGCAAAAGAAACTGTCAACTTAGGCCTTTCGTCTATTTTGTTTTAGGAACAATTTCGTTCTCAGCAAGGACGTATGGAGTCACCAAATTCACCAGGAAAGGTTAGTAACGGTTACTTGTCATTCAAGCTTGACGTAAAAGGATTTTGCTTCAGGGGAAGTAGAATAAAAGTAGATCAGTTTGTGAGGCCCATTAACTTGATATATTTTATGGACTGGAACTAATTTTAATGGGGTTAAAAATTTGTTTACGCCAGAACCAAAGACCCTGTCCACCTAAATACTATGTAAAAACCCCCAAGATTCAATTTTGTTGAGGAAAGCCACAAGCTTAAAGACGCAACGCAATCTGTGACTGGCCCGTTACTTATCATTTGGGAACTGCAGCATGTACTATCAATTTAGAATGTACTAGCAAAAGTGCCATTTGATGCTTATATTCAGAGTGGTCTTTAAATCAATTATTCATCCAAACCCCATCTCTCCAACCCACATCGCCGACCCCACCTCAACAAACCCTACCTCTCCCACCCCATTTTTACAACGGCAACTCCCCTTGAGAATCTCTAAATTCCCACGCCCCCCACCACATCTCTCCAATCCACCCCTCTAACCCTTTCTTCCCCAACCCCCAAATTCTGCTTAAACCTAATCAACCTGCTTTTCTTTTCTAGATGCCTAAGCAGAGGTCTGTATCAACCCCGACCTCGACGTCACACCGCAACTCCAGTCAGTCGAATAGCAGTCAGGAAAATCGAACAAAAAGTGCTGTCTGTGCGGTTATGTAAAGAATTACATTCTTATCAGCTTATGCTAAGTAAGTACAATTAAATTTATATTTTGAAACCTCAAAATAGCGAGCAGCAGTCAGATTATTTTCATTTCATTTTAAACTTGTTCATTGGCGTAACGGAGGCAACTGGGGTCCTAAGGAAAAGCTAAGAAAGGGGCTTCATTTACGGGCTGGAATAAAGTCTCATTCAACGCTGGAGGACCTGTTAAACACAATTGGAAGCTTTTGAAATGAGAATTTGCTGTCGCTAACTAGGGTGAGCTTGAGTTATAAAGGCTGCGGTTGGCAAAATTTCAAAGTTTTTAACATGAGATGGTCTTGAGCAATATCTTAAAAACATGGATATTGAAATAATTTGGGGCCTTTGTTGGTCGGGGACCCCATTTTGGTCGGGGACCATTTTTGGTCGGGGATCCTTTTTGGTCGGGTACTCTTTTTGGTCGAGTACCCCTTTTGGTCTAAGACCCTTCTTGGTCGGGGACTCTTTTTGGCCGGGAACCCCTTTTTGGTCGGGGACCCTTTTTGGTCGATTAACCTAAGGTGCCCAAAACTGTATTACGCCCCTGAAATTGTTTGTACGGAGTTAATACAAGTTTACAATACTAGATGGTGAAAACCCTGATTTACAATTTGCCCTCTGAAGGAATAAAATAATAAAACCTACTTACAATGTTATTTTAATCATAGAAGTAGTTACAATCTGGTGCAGATACAGAATTAGAAAAAGCAAACGAGGGCTTGAATTATTCAGCAGAAAAACTGACCCATGAACAGGGGTGTCCGGTATCTCGTCGTTAGTTTTTTAATTAAAATTTCAATCCGGACAGCTGTGTGACCAGAGTTGCTATCCGCTAAAGGAGAGTGTCCATTGTTCGAAGGTTGATTAGCTAAATCTGTGATCGTGCGAAACTCATTTTGGCACTCATTGTTGATTTTGCACGCAAAACTGAAGAATCCGGTTATGATAATCCGATTAACCTTTTGTGTCATACACGTCGGGGATTTCTTTGACTGCATAAACGAATCACAGGTCTTCGAGGGTCAGGGAACGCTCTCCTGAGAATGTGACATCTAGCAAAACATGACACCTATCCGGATTTTTCATGTCCGTTGATGAAAGTGTTCTCTGTTCCTTTGGAAATACGGCTATATGAAGCGTTTTACGATTACAGGGACCAAATTGTACCGGATCTTTGTTATTCTGTCACTCCCAAAGCAGTGTCTGGGATGGCTAAAAGATACTTCAGGAAATCATTTCACGGGGGTTCAGTTAATGAGCAACTCCGGTTACAATTGATGAAGCAAACACCTGAGTATATACGGTAGAAATTCATATAAAATTAATGTATCACACCCATTCCCCCGTCCAGATTGAGACTTCTGAATCGTTACAGAAGAGATATCAAGATGAAACTAGAAGGTCAGGGCACCAATTTTTCAAAACCTTTTTGCCCAGCATTTGTCCATCTGTTTAGCATATCGAGTGGTCGATAATAGAGAATTCAAAGCTTGAAAATTCTCAATATTTATACTGCAAGGTTGGAATTTTGACAATTCTAGCTCACGACCGATTTTTAATATATAAATAACTTTTTTGGAGCGAATATTTCCGAATTTGATGGGGAATCAATCTGCGCTTTCAGAAGCCTCTGTTCCCCCGTGAAGCTACCAACGACACCCATTTGAGCATCAGGCAGTCAGCAGTGGTAACGGGGGTGAACGCAGGAGAAATACAGTTTCCAAGGTGCTCAAGTAATGACATCACGGCTTACTCAAGTAATGACGTCATCGGCCAAGAAATCAACTATTCTTGGTTTAGCAGTTAGAAAGAGATTCGTATTGGTGTCTCAACTGGAGCAAATAAACTGTTAATTTATAGTGCTGTATGCTCCAGTTAAAATGGGAAATCGCGTAGGCGATTTGATGTATATTTATTGTCCTTCATGGGGGGAGGGGGTTGCAGTGAGACTAACCTTTAACCATATGTCTGTTAGAAACCCTTTTGACAGCAAACAAGTTCCATTTTGGTCGTATGTAGTCCATGATAAATTTATTGGGATAGCTCAATGTTGCTAACAACCGCAAGATCTCTCCAACCTCATACTCTACGTCTATTTATACGCATACCTCCTTGTGTAGTTAGAATGTTAGACCCTCCCCCCCCCCCAAAAAAAAGGGATTGGTTTCCTAGTTGGCCTATTTATAGCTGGCTCAAGCCAATACCCTATCCTGTTATGAACGTTAATGGCTGTAAGGTTAAGACTGCCCCTCTACTGCACACCTTGTAGTTAGATCCCCCTGTAGTCGCTGGATGTTGGGTTCCCAAACCCTCCGTTCTGTTCTGTTTCTATTTTATCATCTTATACCAGTGCAGTTGTTTCACAATTTCGTCTTAAGTGAATAGCATTTCCTAGGGTGCCTATGACAGTTTTCTATGGATAGAGACAGCCCCCTCCCCTTTCCCTCGTGGTTTTTCCCAATGAATATGCAATTAAGCATTCCGAAGCACCCACAAATATAAACAATAACTCATTTTTTTCCTTTTTATTCTTGATTCTCCACTCAGGGGCGTCAGGAATAAACTTCCCTAATCAGACTGTAGGATAAGAGATTTGTCACAAGACTGTAGGTCATAGAATGGAATTATTGATAGAGCAAAGGTTTACTAGATGTTTCGAAAGCAACAGTGATTTTCTGACAGACCCTTGTTCAATATGGGTGTCACGAGCCCCCCCCACCCCATCCCTCGCCCCCACACTCACACGTACACGCACAGATTCCCCCTGTCCCTAGTGCTTCTTCTTCCCCAACCCAACTTCATAACATCTTCAACAACCTCTCCAGCCTTTATCTCCGCTTCAAACCTGTAGCCTTCTCTTTGTCACTTAAAACACCAACAATTATCGTTCCAATCTTCCACAACACACATCAACACATCATATTCCCTAGACCCCAAACTGGACAGCAAAGCCTGCTTCTTCCTCCCCCGCCCCCACCCATATCTGTGTAAAAAACGAAACATGAATATTTGCTGTAAAATATTTTCTCAAATCATTAGTTGCTGTAAATCTTATAATTTCAGGATGTTTATAATATTCACAGTTTCTTGAATTTAGTTGTAGATAGTTTCTAGAATTGCGAGAGACTAAGTTTTCTAAAAAGCAAACAATTATTAAGTATTATCATTTAAAGTTCCTCTACATATAAACATTTTCAAATAAGCTAATCAGGTGTAAATAAATAAAAATGCATACAATAACAATGATGTAAGAAAAAAATTGTAGACTTGCATGAAGGGAATTTCTTAAGGAGGGGCCCTCTCAGTAGATAAACTAATCGAGGGGAGGGCAACTCCTTTTTTAGAAAGGGCTCAAAATCTATTTAAATAGTGAGGATGTATTGATAAATGTGCAAAAAAAAGTTATATATAACTTTGGGTATAACTATACATATTTGGTCGCGTGCAAAAAGTTAGAAAGCCACCTGGTTTCAATTTGGGGTCCTTTCGAGGCTTGAGAGTCATTTCGAGGCGAAAGTCTTGTCACGTGACCGTGCCTGTAGATCTTTGGCCGAACTAGGAAGAACTATTCAATCGATTATTGATTCTTAATTTTTCTTTTGTCGTCAAATACCCACAAAATTTTATACTCAATTAATAAGTGTAGTAGTCTTCTAGTAGTCTGCTTGGCAGAATTTTATATGGATGTTGATGCTTGTGATAAAGAGAAGCCCATTATTTTGAAGTGTCCGTTATAAGATGGTGTCCGATGCAAGGGACAGTGTCATTATTTGGAGGTTTGAGCCCCTAAATGTTGTCCGTTCTTGGAACTGTCCGTATTTATTGTTGTGTCTGTTAAAAGTATGTATGCACAATTTGGAGGTGTCCGTTATAATTGACTGGCCGTTTCATTGTGATGTCAATTTGTAGGAGGAGTCCTTTATTTGGTTTTGGCCGTTTATGGATATTTCTAGTATGTTATAGATGGATGTTGCCTCGTCTTAACGCGCGGTTGTACCGCATACTCGCCGCGGGATTATAGATCATAATAACTACCCATCGCGCTGTCTTATTCCGCGAGAAATCTGCGTGTCAGCCGCAGAGCGCTATCTTTCAAGATATCTTAGTCTCTCGCAGGTTTTGAGTTTTTCATTCTTACATCGCATGGGCAGGGTCCACTTTAATGCTTTTATACATTGAAAATAATTATTATACTAACGAGGATGTGTATTTTAAGAATGTAAAAAGGGATTTTAATAACTAATTCGAAAAATAAAAGGATTTTTGCAAGTTCAAATTGTATTTCTTCCTCTGTTCTTTTTACAAAATTCAGATTTTCGACCCGGCAAATCTAATTTCATTTTTAATCTTACAAAGTAAATTGGCCAATTCTTCAAGATACCAGAACAGCAAATATCAAAGTCAAATTTCTTTTACGTCAGTTTTTCATGTTTCTTCGTGACATTTCAGTTCCATTTTCATTTCTTTCATAGGAGATTCCATCTCCATTTCCGACATAGACCTCATCAAACAAACAATACAGAAATCTATTGAAAATTTTTTACTTCTAAATATTTTGAACAAATTTTTCCAACCCAATACTGACTTTTTTCCATTCTATATTACCGTTTAAACAGTTTACAGAAGTCTTGACATCATGAAAATGATTTCATGGTCTAAAATGACATTTTTTCACAATAGAAATTTCGTCAAATCAAGCAAAACATTGGGCTAAGAAAATATCCATGAGGATTGGACCAAGATCCATTCTCAGTTTACTCTACATAAAGCATAAATGCGATTAAATCAGTTCTCGCCTCTATTAAAAGTGTTCTCATGCTCTAAAAAGGCAGTGTATTGGTTAAGGGTTTTCATGGAAAAAAGCAAGGCTATAGCCTTACCAAAATACCTCATTTTTGACCAACAATTTTTTCATCCAAAACTTGCCTAAAACCACTCGAAATAAAGCCTAAATACGTTTCAATCAGCTCTCGTCTTTATTTAAAGTGTTTTTATGCTTTAAAAAGGCAGTGTTTTGGTTAAGGATTTTCATGGAAAAAAGCAAGGCTATAACCTTACCAAAATACCCCATTTTTGACCAACAATTTTTTCATCCAAAACTTGCCTAAAACCACTCTAAATAAAGCATAAATACGTTTTAATCAGCTCTCGCCTCTATTTTAAGTGTTTTCCTGCTCTAAAATGGTTGTGTTTTGGTTAAGGATTTTCATGGAAAAAAGCAAGGCTATAACCTTACCAAAATACCCTATTTTTGACCAACAATTTTTTCATCCAAAACTTGCCTAGAACCACTCTAAATAAAGCCTAAATACGTTTCAATCAGCTCTCGCCTCTATTTTCAGTGTTTTCCTGCTCTAAAAATGCAGTGTTTTGGTTAAGGATTTTCGGGCAAAAAAGCAAGGCTATAGCCTTACCAAAATACCCCATTTTCGACCAACAATTTTTTCATCCAAAACTTGCCTAAAACCACTCTAAATAAAGCATAAATACTTTTTAATCAGCTCTCGCCTCTTCTTTAAGTGTTTTCCTGCTCTAAAAAGGCAGTGTTTTGGTTAAGGGTTTTCATGGAAAAAAGCAAGGCTATAACCTTACCAAAATACCCCATTTTTGACCAACAATTTTTTCATCCAAAACTTGCCTAGAACCACTCTAAATAAAGCCTAAATACGTTTCAATCAGCTCTCGCCTCTATTTAAAGTGTTTTCCTGCTCTAAAAAGGCAGTGTTTTGGTTAAGGATTTTCATGGAAAAAAGCAAGGCTATAACCTTACCAAAATACCCCATTTTTGACCAACAATTTTTTCATCCAAAACTTGCCTAGAACCACTCTAAATAAAGCCTAAATACGTTTCAATCAGCTCTCGCCTCTATTTTCAGTGTTTTCCTGCTCTAAAAATGCAGTATTTTGGTTAAGGATTTTCGGGCAAAAAAGCAAGGCTATAGCCTTACCAAAATACCCCATTTTTGACCAACAATTTTTTCATCCAAAACTTGCCTAAAACCACTCTAAATAAAGCCTTAATACGTTTCAATCAGCTCTTGCCTCTATTTAAAGTGTTTTCCTGCTCTAAAAATGCAGTGTTTTGGTTAAGGATTTTCGGGCAAAAAAGCAAGCCTATAACCTTACCAAAATACCCCATTTTTGACCAACAATTTTTTCATCCAAAACTTGCCTAGAACCACTCTAAATAAAGCCTAAATACGTTTCAATCAGCTCTCGCCTCTATTTTAAGTGTTTTCCTGCTCTAAAAATGCAGTGTTTTGGTTAAGGGTTTTCATGGAAAAAAGCAAGGCTATAACCTTACCAAAATACCCCATTTTTGACCAACAATTTTTTCATCCAAAACTTGCCTAAAACCACTCTAAATAAAGCATAAATACGTTTTAATCAGCTCTCGCCTCTATTTTAAGTGTTTTCCTGCTCTAAAATGGTTGTGTTTTGGTTAAGGATTTTCATGGAAAAAAGCAAGGCTATAACCTTACCAAAATACTCCATTTTTGACCAACAATTTTTTCATCCAAAACTTGCCTAGAACCACTCTAAATAAAGCATAAATACGTTTTAATCAGCTCTCGCCTCTATTTTAAGTGTTTTCCTGCTCTAAAAAGGCAGTGTTTTGGTTAAGGGTTTTCATGGAAAAAAGCAAGGCTATAGCCTTACCAAAATACCTCATTTTTGACCAACAATTTTTTCATCCAAAACTTGCCTAAAACCACTCGAAATAAAGCCTAAATACGTTTCAATCAGCTCTCGTCTTTATTTAAAGTGTTTTTATGCTTTAAAAAGGCAGTGTTTTGGTTAAGGATTTTCATGGAAAAAAGCAAGGCTATAACCTTACCAAAATACCCCATTTTTGACCAACAATTTTTTCATCCAAAACTTGCCTAGAACCACTCTAAATAAAGCCTAAATACGTTTCAATCAGCTCTCGCCTTTATTTTAAGTGTTTTCCTGCTCTAAAAATGCAGTGTTTTGGTTAAGGATTTTCGGGCAAAAAAGCAAGGCTATAACCTTACCAAAATACCCCATTTTTGACCAACAATTTTTTCATCCAAAACTTGCCTAGAACCACTCTAAATAAAGCCTAAATAGTTTTCAATCAGCTCTCGCCTTCTTTTTCAGTGTTTCGCTGCTCTAAAAATGCAGTGTTTTGGTTAAGGATTTTCGGGGCAAATAAAGCAAATGGCTTAGCCTTATCCAAATAACTCTCATTTTTGACGACCAACAATTTTTTTCAATATCCAAAACTTGCCTAAAACCACTCTAATAAAGCATCATACGTTTAACTGCAGCTTCGCTCTTCTTTAAGTGTTTTCCTGCTCTAAAAAGGCAGTTGTTTTGGGTTAAGGGTTTTCGGATAAAAAGCAAGGCTATAACTTCAAATACCCCATTTTTGACCAACATATTTTTTCATTCAAACTTGCTAGAACCACTCTTAAATAATAAGCCTAAATACGTCTTCAATCAAGTCTCGTCCTATATTTTCAGTGTTTTTCCCTGCTCTAAGAATTGCAGTGTTTTGGTTGAACGGATTTTCGGGCAAAAAAGCAAGGCTATATAGCCTTACAAATAACCTCATTTTCGACCCAACAATTTTTTCTATCAAAACTTGCTTAAAACCACTCTAAATAAAGCATTAAAATACGTTTTAATCAGGCTCTCGCCTCTTCTTTAAGTGTTTTCCTACTCTAAACAGGCAGTGTTTGGTTAAGGGTTTCATGGAAAAAAGCAAGGCTTATACACTTACAAACATACCCCCATTTTTGACCAACAATTTTTCATCCAAACTTGCTAGAACCACATCTAAAATAGCCTAAATCGTTGTCAATCAGCTCTCGCCTCTATTTTCCAGTGTTTTCCTGCTCTAAAAATGGCAGTGTTTTGGTTAGGGATTTTCCGGCAAAAAGCATAGGCTATAGCCTTACCAAAATCCTCATTTCGAACAACAATTTTTCATACATTGCACTAAACACACTCTAAATAAAGATAACATCAGTTTCATAATCAGCTACTCGCCTCTCTTTAAGCTGTCTCTTATCCATGTACTAAAAAGGCAGTGGTTTGGTTCACCGCGCGTATCTCTACACTAGGAAAACAACGCACAGCGCTATACCTTACACACCAAATACCCCATTTTTTGACCAACATATTCTTTCATCCAACAACCAACTTCAAAGCCTAGAACCACTTCTAATAAAGCCCTAAATACGTTCAACACGCTCTCTGCGTCTATTTCACGTCGCTTTTCCTGCTCTAAAATTGGCAGTGTTTACTCGGCTCAACGATCGGGCCAAAAGCAACGGCTTAGACCTTACACAATCACCTCATTTTCGAACCAACAATTTTTTTCATCCAAAACCTTGCATAAACACACTCCTCAACTACAACAGATAAATACGTTTTTAATAGCTCTGCCTCTTCTTTACTAGTGCTCTTCTCTACTCTAAAAAGGCAGTGTTTTAGTTAAGGGGTTTTGGATTGAAAAGATTGTTGGTCAAAACATGGGGTATTTTGTAAGGTATATAGCCTTGCTTTTTTTCCATGAAAAGCCTAACCAAAACACTGCCTTTGATTGGGGAACCACTTAAGAGAGTCGGAGCAGAGAGCTGATTAAAATCGTATTTATCGCTATTTAGAGTGGTTTAGGCAAGTTTTGGATGAAAAAATTGTTGGTCGAACAATAGCAACGATTTTCGGTAGCTAATGCCGCATCTGCTTTTTCTGCCCCGAAAATGCCTTAACCAAAACACCTGCAACTTATAGCAGACACACTGAAATAGAGGCGAGAGCTGATTGGATAACGTATTATAGCTCGGTTTATTTAGAGTGAGTTTGGCAGTTTGGATGAAAAAGATTGTCTTGTCAAAAATGGGGTATTTTGGTAAGGTTATAGCCTTGCCTCCTTTTTCATCGACAAACCTCTAACCAAAACACTGGCCTTTTTAGAGCAGGAAAACACTTAAAGAAGAGGCGAGAGCTGATTAAAACGTAATTGATGCTTTATTTAGAGTGGGTTTAGGCAAGTTTTGGATGAAAAATTGTTGAGTCGACAACACATGCAGCGTATACTATCGGATCAAGGCGGTATAGCCTTCGCTTTTTTGCCCGAAAATCCTTAACCAAACAACCTGCATTTGTTAGAGCAGAAAACATGAAAATAGAGGCGAGAGCTGATTGAAGAGTAATTTAGGCTTTATTTTAGCGTGGTTAGGCAAGTTTGGAGTGAAAAATTGTTGTGCAAAGAATGGGGTATTTTGGTAAGGTTATAG